ACAGCAAACTGTTGACGGACAATAAAAATGCTTGCTCTATAGTGAATACAGGGAGCAGAAAGGCCGCGCTGCAGGGCATTGCATGCGATTTGCATTGTTTCTGTTCAGACAATGATGTAAGTTTGAGTACGCAGTGGATACCTAGGTCAGCTAACGGTACTGCTGGTCACCTGAGCAGGTGTATGCATTGTGACGATTGGTGCATTCAGTACTGGGTTGTTGCATTGTGTGAGAAAGCATGGGGTGTGCATGAGGTTGACAGGTTCGCCTCGGGATACAACGCTAAATGTGGGCATTCTAATTCTAGATGGTGGTGTGAAGGTACGGAGGCTATAGATGCTTTTACAGTATCGTGGGAGGGGGTACATAATTGGTTAGTACCGCCTCCAAGGTTAGTGTGCGAGACCATTCAAAAAGTGAAGGTGGAAAGATCGCACGGCACTTTGATCGTTTCAGAATGGAAATCGGCACCCTTTTGGCCGATTATATGTAAAAAGGGGCCATATTTGTTAGCTTTGTCAAATATTACCGTGTGCTGGGTAGCCAACACGTTACTTCCATGGGTAGAGGAAATAACGGCTGTTTTAGGAAGCCGCTGTTGGCTTTTAACATGCTGGCACTGTGTGTCGATTTCAGAGTATAATCAATACGGAGAGTTTTCCTTTTCTGTCTTTTCAACAGGCGTAGGATTGGAGAGGACTCTGAAGGACGCTATTCATGCGTAAGGGGTCACGGAGGGGTCATCTCTGTACTGCTGTTCAGAGAGCATGGCAGTTAGGTTGCTGTCCAATAAGAGCGAAAATACCAACAAAAAATACAGTGGAAGTTTCCGGAGATTGTTTTCCTGATTTACCCGCGAGCCCTATTCACGTGGCTCTATATTTGAACCATCTGTTGGACACTGGATCTTCATTTTCGATGGTTTGGGCCGGAGTCTATGCCATTAGATGGATGCATAGTTTACACGGACACTGTGATCCCACTACAAGCACGTTCGTGCAGAACCTTTTGGAGGCTTCTAAGCGTATTGCCAAGAAGACCGTGTGCAAAAAAGAACCGGTGACAACTGACAATCTGATCGAATTATGTGACATTTATGCTAAATCTGTAGATTTATTAGTGGTTCGAGATTTAACTATGATTTTGTTGTGTTTCGCCGGTTTTTTACGCTTTAGTGAGCTCGGTAATTTAAGGGGGTCGGATGTTAAGTTTTTTTATCAGCATTTCACGTTGGGGATTAGGAAAAGTAAGACGGACCAATACCATTACAGGAAAGAGGTGGTAGCGAGTAAGGGGTTAATGGCAGCATGTCCGTACAATGATGTTGAATAGATATGTGGAGTTGTCAAAGGTGGATTTACAGTCTGAAGATTTTTTGTTCAGGCAGGTGAACAGGTCGGGGGAGGTTTGTAGTTTGATCCACAAGATGAAACCTATTAGTTATACGTGCGCGCGTGAAGCTATTCTGAAAAGGTTGCGGTTCGTTTCCGACGGAAATGTTGGTCTGCACTCGCTTCGTTCTGGTGGGGCCACAGCAGCGGCTTACAGTAACGTTAATGACAGATGTTTCAAGAGGCATGGTCGCTGGAAGAGTGACATGAGCAAGGACGGTTGCGTTAAAGACTCTTTAGAAAAGATGTTAGTGGTAACGCAGAAGTTTGGTTTGTAATCATTCGTTTGTGATTTTATTGCGGTTTGTTTTGTCGGGCGCGAGGCTATGAGGGTCAGATATTGTAGTAGCAAGAGTAGCTTTAAATGTTCCTGATGATTCTTTCTTTGTAATTTTCTAGTGCGTCCTCACGGCAAGCTAGCGGCAAATTGAATATTTGCGTTGTGTCGGTTTTTAGGTCACCTGAGCTTTGCTCAAGTGACCTATTCTAATCGCTTTTCGTCCGTCGTCGTCCGTCGTCCGTCGTCCGTCGTGCGTCGTGCGTAAACTTTTACATTTTCAACTTCTTCTCAAGAACCAGTGGATGGATTTTTTTTCAAACTTGGTCAGAATCATCCTTGGTAGATGAGGCTTCAAAATTGTAAAATTGGGATTCCTACCCCAACCCCTGGGGCCAGGGCGGGGCCCAAAAGGGAAAATTAACCAATATATCAAAAATCTTCTTCTTCAGACACAGAGGTACTACACTCATTTTCTCTGCGTGGAAAGAAAGATCATCAGGGGCTTTACTTAAATTGTAAATTTCAGGACCCCCGAGCTATCCGTTCTCCCTTAGGGAGGGGGTAAAGTTTACTATAGTTTATATAGGGAAATAACACTTAGGGGTATATTGTGACAACTTTCTGTAGGAAATTATTTTTACTTGGTGAGATTATCCTTGGAGGAAGATGGTTTCAAATTGTAAAAATGAGATTCCTACCCCGACCCCTGGGGCCAGGGCAGGGCCCCAAAGGGAAAATTAACCAATATTTCCAAATTTTTCACTTCCCGACTCAGAGATACTACATTCATTTTCTCTGCATGGAAAGAAAATCATCAGAGGCTTTATTTAAATTGTAAATTTCAGGGACCCCCGAGCTAACCGTTCTCCCTTAGGGAGGGGGTAAAGTTTAATATAGTTTATATAGGGAAATAACACTTTTCGGTATATATTTTATCCATTTTCAGCAGAAAATTACTCAAACTTAATCAGAATCATCTTGGGTGAATGAGAGTATTACTTTGTAAAATTGGGATTCCTGCCCCATCCCCAGGGGCTAGGGCGGGGCCCCTAAGGGAACATTTACCAATATTTTCAAATTCTAATCCATTGATGACATGACAAGTATTGTATTTCACTTAGTTAACATGCTGATTTCCTCATCACATCTAAACAATCAAATAAAGCTACCAGTACCTATGATATAACTCAGGTGACCGCTAAGGCCCTTGGGCCTCTTGTTCAAGTGGCGGACAGGAGCGAGACTCAGATATCCCCGCGGTGCAGAGTAATAGCGGGGATTAGTTGTCTCGTGCGGCACTCGTTTGCTAGTTGGGGCACGAGCGGCGAGTGCTGTCACGTGTCCACGTGACAGATGAGCGCGGGGCCTATAGTGTAGGGTCATTTCTAGTCGCTTACTCGGGACGCGCGGTTCACACCAAACTTTTTATGGGGATGTTAGCACAGGATATATATATATTTGTTTGCAGTCCAATGTATATGTTTATAGGTCGCATGTAGTAAATTCGGGGAGTTTGTGGGGTTTTATTATTTTAGGCGGTTTTTTATGCTTGTATTTGCGGTATATAGATATTTTGTTTGGAAATAACGTACAGAGTATGACATTGGTTTCCGGGTGTCACCCTTGAGAGATATCCTGCAGGGAGATAATAGTTGTCCCGCCTCTGGACGCAGATTTCCGGGGGGTATTTCCGGTTTTTGCTGAGCGAGCGGGTTGATCTCGATGAAGGGGAATCTCTGAGACATGTAGGTGTTCTGTATTTTTCGCAGAGTACAGAAAGTTTGTGACGAGCAAGTTTGTATGCCATGAATGTCCAATTTACTGTTACATGTATATGCTATCTTATTGTTAAATGTCTGATTAAACGCCCACCGCCTCAATTGAATAGAGCGAGAACCCTTATTAAGTCCTATATATATATATGTCTCTGTATCAGAAACAGCTATACTTTGTAATAAGGGTAGGCTGTCAAAACAGCAAACACTATTTTATAAACGGGTGTTTTAAACTGCAATCTCGTTTTTTAAGTATCTTACTCAAAAGCAGACGCTTTGTTGGTCCGGCCAATTCCATTTAATACATGTCCACCTTTGAATGCACTTTGTGTTCATAAAAACAGTCATGTATGTCAAGGCTAGCCTAATATAGAAGTCCCATTGTGTCTTTATAATTGGTGCAGATCTTGCAATTCACCTACGTGTACTTCTGTACTTGTATGTTTAAGTAAACAAGTATACACGTGTCAAGGTATCGTTAACGTCGGCGATGCGTGACCGATCTTCAGTCGCCTGTTACTATGGCACAGAAACATCAAGCGCTGTTTACAGTAGCTACCGCGTACTAGTCTAGACGTCTACCCGTGTAACCGGTGTATACATTGGCTTGAGCATAACAGCTGACCAGTGCCACTTATATTGTTTGGACCAGATCAGAAATAATAACCGCCCGCTGCAGCCGATAATACCAATAAAGTGTTAACGTTCTGTGCCACCGTAGTAGCTTAAAGAGGCTTAACTTTAAGACTGCCATGATTTACCGCGCAGTATATTGTGCTACGTGTTTTCACACTGATCAATAAATGAACTGGGACATATCTAAATATAGACTAACAATTCACTATTAATGGCAGTTTAGAGTATATTTTTTACGTAGCACTAGCATTATATACTGCATCGTCTGAGGAGCGAGTTCATGTATATATATATTTATATACTATATAAAGAAATTCTTAACAACGAGTCTTTAGTACTTTCATCTCTTCTATGAGATTCTTCAGACTGTTTATTTGAAGTATTGACGTCATACACTATGACGTCACATAATAGTTCGCTATAACGACGTACGCCATATACGTACCCGCCATAACGATATCACAGCAATATAAATATATTAATTATAGTCTTAAGGCAAACAGTACTATTTGTTTATGATTTAGATATACTAGTAATACTATTACTTACAAAAGAAATAATATAATAATAATAAAAAATAAGTAAAAATAAAAAATAAATAACACTATCAGTGTGGGGCGACCTCAGGACCATTAGATTACTGATCCGACACACTACCGATGTCACTACTTTACAAACATACAATGTAACTCTTCTATAGACAAAAATAAAATGATAAAACACATTGATCGAAACTCGTGTAGTACTCTCTAGACGTAACATGAAGTTAGTTACCAAAGTAAACAATTGATGTGGCGAACCTGTAAAACATAATTACTGTCAGTTAGATATACCATGGAAATTATTATATTTCAGCAGACAATTTAAAAAATTCATTTAATTTTAGTATTGTTTAAGGGTTTAGTGTGTGCACAGCAAAGGAGAATGAGGTCAAAATATGACACAGTGAAATTGAAGGAAACACACAATTGTTGCAACACTTATTTGTCTAGTGCTGAGTATTCTTAGAAGAAAACATTTTGGAAATGATTTTTAAAAAAAACAATAATTAATTAACAAGAAAACTCACATTTCAGGTGTCAGCAGGAATGCTTGGGTCCAGGTTCTCAGCTGATGTCTGTAAATATAAAATCCTAGGCATTAATGTCTTGACACTTATGTCTATGTAAACTTATCAGGTTTTTGGCTTAATATCCCTCATAACAGTGTTTATTTCCAGCATGAAAGCACCTATTGTGTTAAATTTTGACAACCATTTTGTTTACAAAAAGCATTAGGTGAAAGTAGTTCCAATGTGTAGTATGTAATGTATGGAGCTTCATATATGCCCCAAATAATGCATTACAGTCCCTTGCTTTATTCTGCACTACAGCAGTACTGAGCATTTAAATAATTTGAGAACATGTTAGTATTAAGTATTGATATTGCAAAAATATTGCCCCCCCCCCCTCCCCCGCTATTACAGTTACTAGCAAATTATCTCCCTTTAATGTTTAGTTGATTAAATAACAATCAGGATAATTATTGTGTTCCGTGTTAGTGTCCAATTTTCTACCATAAATATATAACATTATTAATCGACTTAACATTATTATTATATATTTAAACATTCTTCATATTATAAAAAACTTAAAACATGTGCAATTTCCATTGTGGTATCCCCTTGTCAGTGCTGTGTGAGTTTTGTATTGATAAATTTACCTTAAATATCTATAAATTTCAAGGAAGAGGATTGCAGATCTTGCTGGAGATTTTGTACTTGCACAGGTTCTTCTTCACCATCATATAACACTTCATATGTAGCAGTAGGCTGACCGTCTTTGCCTTTCAGTACATCAAGCACTCTGCCCTTGTACCATTGTGTTGTTCCAGCAGCTTCATCTACACACCATTCATGAAGTATTCTCCTTCCTACAAATTTGGCACAACTCCTTCGAGTTCGGGTACTCACTCCAGATGGTCCAGGCTTTGGTGATGTAGGAGCTGAAGTTCCTTCTTGTACATGTTCTAGGGATTAAAACCAATTATTATGCTGTATTTCAAATCTTGACCGACTGGTTTTGTTTAAATTTCAAATATATACATATAATGCAACTTCAATTACACAAGCAGCTGTGAAATTAGAAACAGAATACCTGTATATAATGTACAATCAACACATTAGGTCATTTACACTTAAATAACAGTGGATAGGTTGAGGAGCAAGGGTACTTTAAGAAAAGCACCGACCTGTGGCAAGTAAATAACACCTTTCTCACATGGCCAAATCCAGTGTACCAGAATTAGGTCACACAACCTCTTTTTAGGTCCCTGCATCAGATATGTAGGAACCCTATAGTAATTTTCTGTCTTGTGGCTTTTGCATAATATTCATGGAAATGAATTGGGTATCCACTTTAAATTTTACAACATGATTTCCCTTGAACTGTGGTAAATTTTAGGGTCGATCAGTTTCAAAATGGCCGCTTATCAGCCATCTTGGATTGTGACAGTCAGAAGTTCAAATCTTGTTTTCTCTTATTTGGTAAACATTTTGTTATGACACTACAGAGTAACATTGGTCACAATCAAACAAATACTAAAATGATCATTAATGTTAAGGTAATCGAATCCAAATTCAAGGTCAGATTTTATATCTGTTATCTGGTAAAGATTTGGTCATGACATTATGAAGCAAAATTGGTGGAAATCAAACAAGGTACAAACTTACCCACACTCAAAGTAATTGGGTGAAATGTGAAGGTCAAATTTGGTATCTCTTCACTTAACTAAACTTAACTTGACTTAACACAACATGATGTACAATTACCTTGTGGTGTTGTTGATGCAGATTGTTTCTTTTGCTGTGAAGACTTTCCTCTCTTGCTGCTATTGGTAGTAGGGGAATCAAACTGAAACAAATTAGAAATATTGATATATTTCAGATTTAACTTACATTTAACAAAAATATTACATTGTGTGTGAACATCATCATCTGAAAGTAAATAATTGCATAAGGGTTTACATATATTTCTAGTTTCACAATATTCAAGTAATATTTGGACAACCATTTGTAAGGAGATCAAGACAAAGGATATCGATGATATTTCCTTGATTAAGGGTGAACAACAGAACAAGTTAACGTAGTGCACCAGCTAGGTATAAGGTTGTAACAATAACCACTACACTGCATGTGGTTTTTCGCTACAGATTTCAATGTTTGTGTAATATTTACATGTAACTCACCCAAGGGAGGTGGGGTTCACGTATGCCTGTGCTTGTATGTTCTCTAGGGTGAGCTAGTTCTGGCAGCATTGCTTTCATATAGAATGCGCGAAGTTTAGGAAGCATCACTGTATGCCATAGATGTTCATCCCTTTCTATGCGTTCAATGTAAATCTGGTTTGGATTAGTGCGTCTAACAACAAAGTCTAACCACGGCATTTTTATCACATTGAGTTGGCCTTGACATTGGTAGAAGTAATTATGTTTTCTTTTCAACTGAAGAGACCCATTGACTACCTCCAAACAAAAAGCCTTCATTGTTGTAGCAGCTTCCATGAAAGTCAAGGTGTTTTTTTGCAGCAGGTTTTTGATCTCCAAGAGGCCACTAGGTCCTGTTGAAGGTACAACTCTCCCATCGGAACTAGCACCAAGGTATTTGTTGTCCATGTCAATAACAAGACCTATTTTCTCCACTTTAACCACTTCCTGATTTTCTTCCTTTTTCTGTATATATTCCTTGATAGTAGGAAATTCTGCATTCAATCCAAACATGGTAAACCTTGTTCCTCGAAAAGAAGGGTAGATCAAGCGCGACACAAGCGGAGCAACTGGTCTTTTGGGATTTCTATGTATGATTTCACCAAAGATGGAAGACGTCAGACGTTTTTTTCTCTCCTCCTGCCAGGTAACACTGTGGCTCTGTGCTCGGGTTACTTCCTCTATCATGGTACAATGAGGGTTATCTCTCTCAACTTGGGTTTTCAGGAACCTGTCACACTTTAACTTCAAGTCATCTGGCTCAATATCAGGGACAACATCAATAGCACCAGCTCCATAAGACCGCTTAGCCTTCTTGGTGTTGTTTGCAGCACATGACGCTAGTTTCCGCTTTCTCTTACGAGCTTGGACATCTAGTTTACCTTTGGATTTGATGCTATGCAGCAACTGTAGAGATCTTCGCCTGTACAGACTTGTGAATGAAGATCCAGGTGATACACCTGTGCTCCTGTGCCAAACAAGGGGTGACCAAGCAGGTCCAAAATTTTTCCTGAGTGCTCCTCCATAACAGCGGGAGTGCCAACTTCCTCTATTGCACCGGTTATAAATTTTCCCACCATCAAATTTGCAGCGGATGGCCATCCAACTCTCGGCAAGATTTGTGGTAAAATTACCCAGCAACCTCCTACTCTTGCTTGCTATTCTGTCTAGCAGAACACTTATGTCTCGCAACATATCTGCCTCCAAAGAAAATTGATCACTTACACCATACCTGCTGTCATCCATATCTTTCTCAGATGTTCCATCTAACCACAAATTCCGCTGATCGTCTATAAGGTCACAAACAGTATCAATGTCCTCTGTAATACCTTCTTCTGAACTGGATGTTCCACAAGTGGTTGTTGATGTTGGGGCGGACTTGGATGACACATGTACAGTTGATGTGTTTGTTGGAGGGCTCCTTGACTTGCAAAAGTCACTACAATGTGAATGGTCACCAAAAACATGATGGACGGAGTTGCGAACATCATGTTCTAGCTGACGGGCTGCCTGAATCTTGTCCTCGTCTTTTGATCGAAGTCGGATGGCACATCTTACAGCTGTTGTCAGTCTGACTCTCATAAATTTGGTCAATCTACCTTTCCCCTTGTATGCCGGCTTATCTACCACCAACTTTTCCAAACTTGATCTAAGACATTTACAAATATGATTTGCACATTCCAACTTCGAAACCTCTCTTCCCCAAATAGGAACACACTCCTGGATTGTAGCGAATACACTGCTGTCACCATCAGCAATAAGGCGCATATATCGAACTCCATGCGTAGACTCCGCTTTCAAAAAGCCATCTAATATAACATCCACCTCCATTGACTGGCTACTGCTACTCCAATTTCGAAAGCACTCGTGCTGTGCTGGCTCCTCATTTCTTGACTCAGCAATTGTACATATGTAGCAGTGCTTGTTTTTGACCCCGACATGAAGCAATTTCCCTGTGGCTGCACCAAAGATGACCCCTACACCACCTAAAGCATTGTATGTATGCTTATGTGTCCGTTTGGACCATCCACCATCACATATCACAGTTATTGCTGGTACACCGTCATGCAAATCTCCCCGTTCAATGGCAAGTCTCCGTTCTTCAACACCTGCAGCTATCATATCCTCCTGCAAACACTTGTTCCACATTGACCCTATAATATGTTCAATTTGGGAAAATTTCGGTTGTGAAATGCCTGGAGCATTCATGGTTCCAAACAATTCACTGAGGTTTGAAGCTCCACCACCGGTAACCATTGCTCCCCATACTGCTCGCAGGTTTACATCGTGACACGAGTCACCACTCTGAAGGGAAATGGAAGGAGAATTTTCCAACTGGAAAAGTTTGCCACAAACACATGACAATTCGAATACACTTGCCATTCCACATTTTGGTTTCTCCCACATATTAGAAATGGGTGATTTACCAGTCACACTTATCTCTCCTGCAGCAGTACATGTAATTGTGTGCTGAACAACATCTGAAAAGGCTTTTTGTAGAAGACCAAGGTTGAACAACCTATAACCATCAGGTGCAAGCCTATCTGAGGAATGTATGTACAGTGTGGGTTTTTGTGGATGAACCACAGAGTGCAATGTCTTCCCTGGAGATGAAAACCTTGGAAGTCTTTTAACAACAAGTTTAGCACTTACTTGTCCATTAACGATTTTCACAGAGTGCTTCAGTTTGTAGGGTTTACCCGCTCTCGGCTGTGACATTGACTCTAACCGCCTCCTAATATTTTCATTGGCTTTGGCATACCTTCTAGTGGCTATCTTACTGTGTCGTCCTGGGGCACAATTAAACCTTACTGGTCTCCTTTTAGTTGGTTTACCCATATCCTTCACTGCAAATATTATCCGAATGGCATAACAGCTTCTTAGCTCACACGAATATGTTGCTTGGACATAATACTCATTTATGTATCATTCAAGTAAGTGCAAAATATCTTGAATTGAAATTGAACGCTGCAACAAATTCTAGTCAACTGATCATGAGCACATGGTCGACGGAACTACTCTGATATATATAAATCATTACACAGGTCGTGAAAAGGTCCAACCAATACCAGTGGTCATTGTGTATAATATTGCAAGTGTAGTAATATGACAAGAAAAATATTCTTTATAATATAGGTCTAATTGTAATGGTCAATATGAAAAATATGTATGACATACCAAGTAATTATTGGTACACATTTTGGTCGGTTTGATACAAGTAATGTTGTATATTATTCTATCAACCCACAAAGCCTCCATACTTAAAACATCGTGTGTCTATATATAGCTCATTGAGCTATCTTGAAGTAGGCTTTCCACAAACCTGTGGGAGAGTTGATTGTACAATATAGACACTCAATGGTAAATTAATCATGAGTTTAAATTAATTTTATTGTCTCAATGAACAGCTCAAAGTTTATGAACTATTGGAAATTGAGTAGACAGGTCTGAAAACGACTGCTTATTTTTATGCAGCACCGTTAATAATCCTAAAATAAAATGTCCCGCATTCCCGCGTGATCAACCAACACGGGCATTGATAGTGTAAAGAATTCCACATTTCAAGGTTTGTAAACAAATCGTGTACATATATAGATCTCTCAATGAGTTATTTGGGACACACGGTGTGGTTACAATGATAGGGCAATAATCTCATTTGGCATTTTGTAAGCGATTACTTACAGCAGACTAATAAAACATCGGTGTTCGTCTTCGTTTCTCTTGTCAGCTTGACTGTTTGTACAGGAAGTAACCTAACAACATATCACATTTTTCCATGTGCTACGCGCAAGAAATAGTTCGCGAATCCACACCAACATTGTATCATTTCAATGAAGAATTTGCGACGTTATGATTTTAAACAAACATGCATTTGCATTTGCATATCAAGTAAACTATCAATAGAAACAGTTATAACATATAATGTGCAGCGAATGGATATTGTGAAAAAACTGTTGTCAGCGCCATTGCCGGTGAATCCACATGGACGTAAACAAGCTTGGTGCAGTATGATATATTTCATCCTGTATATGAAAATCAACTCATGATCGGACTAGCGATTTCGGGTATAACGCATCCTAGTGAATTACTGAAGTGGTTTGCAAGATATGAGCATGTTGTTTTGCTGCTTTCTTTCAGATCAAGTTCATCTACAAATGACAGCCGAGAAAGCACTGACAAGACAAGGTTCGACATTACGATGGATTTTTGCAAAATATTGTTTTCACAACAACTGTACCCGGTTCTTCAAATCAAGCGCTCAGCTGCAATTATTTAATACATATATATTAAGGAGACCACAACATTTTAACTGTAGAATGCTCTAATTTTGCAAAACCCAAACATTTCGAAAACGACTCATTTTGACCCAAAACATAGAAAGTGCGTAACATTTTTATTTGTGTCAACGAAATCTAATTAATGTATATAAAGAGCATATAGTGTCCAAATTTTCCTACTTTCCTTTACGTTACAATGAAGTTATTGCAATCTGCATTTTGGGAACTTTGGAAGCCATTGTGCTGTTACAAAACCCTTAATTTATTGATAGATGCATCGAACAATAATTAATAGCTTGCACCTTTCATAATATTTTCAAGTGAAATACATGGACAATACCCACGAGTTTTAAATAACTCTTGACATCATATATAGCAGTGTTCAGTTTTATTAAAATAGCATGCACTAATAATTTTGTCAGTATATGACTTGACAACAGATGGCAGGCACCTGGCGGTCCAGGCACTCTGTCTATGTGTTTATAATGTAGTACTTCACAGTGTACAGGATATGATTAAACTACTGAGAAAGAACAATTTTCCATGCGTACAAATATTTATAGCTTTTGATTGTGTTAACATCCATCCATCCTGCTTAAGCCACAGTCACCATTTAAGATTTTTACTGCCGGGAGAGACCAGGAATTAATTTTGGTTGTTGCCCAAAATTTTAAACTCAGAAAAAGACAGATTTTTTGCACTTTTCTAAAATTAATAAATGAGAACTCCATGTGTAATACATTCTGCCACCAAAAAACATATAGAACAGTGGCGGATCCAGAGGGGGGTTTTGGGCTTCAGGAAACCCCCCAGCCTGAGAAGTTTCTTTAAAGAGGGGGGCTTATAATGCGCGCGAATCTATATGTACATGTAGTTTAGGCGAGCATTTTGGCAATTTAAGATCAACTTATTTTGTCATCGATGTGAATTATGATTTAACTGTTTGTCTTTCATTGTGAAATAATATGCATACATATGTACAAGGGCCAAATGAAAAGGATGTACACGCCAGGCTTTTATACTAACATTGGTTATTAATCACCTGATGAAGTGATGCTAAGGAAGGTGCTTTATTGTCTTTGATTTTTTTTAATTCATATCTTTTAATTGGTATAATAGATCACTCCTGGTGGCATTGTGTACTTGGAAACCACCGGTGAAAAACCTATATACCTAATTCCAACAGATGGTATAGTCCTCTCCAAACTGACAGGGTAGAGAGAGTCAGTCCGGTGAGTCCTGACCACTGGAGACCCTACCAAGAGAATGAATCCCCTTTTATTTAGATTATAAGTAGTGGACGCCTTGTTTGGGCAACACTCTTAGGCATATATAGATATTCAAACTGCTGACAAAGGGAAGCCATAGAAAAATCATAGTTCAAGGGATGGTTGATGATATTAGAAGGAAATCCCATATGAAATAGAGGAAAATCTTCAAAAACCTTGGACACAGAAAAAGGGTGTTGCCCGGGCAACTAGGGCAACTCTGCCTGGGTCCGCCACTGTAAACAGTACACTTGGTTAACTTGAGTCGGGGTTTGCAACCTGTCCTTAGATTGGGGGTCTGAGTACCTAGAGTTCACGGATTCTAAGGGCGGAAACTCTTGTACTAATCTTTGTCTCTGGGGAATTACGTAACGCTGTATAAGTTGGGAGTTGTCAGACTTCGAGTTGGAATCGGATTCAGAACTCGATTCTGATTCAACCTGTTTAGACGACATATGTAACCTCTTAGGCCTTACCTCGCGGTGTGCCCCTTCAACATAGTCCTCAGCAGTAATGGCGTCACATCTCCCCTTTTGGTCGGGAATTGATAAACGAAATGACCTACTGTTATCCACTGCATATATTGTAAGAGACAACTTATGTGGAACGCCCTGTATATCTAGAATTGGGATTTACCTTCGTGTCATCTACTTGTTACACAAGATGAAGTAAAGCTGCTGCACCCATTAGAACATTGGATTCTTTTTTTCTCTCTCCACTTCCCCCTGCAGGTAGGGCTTAATAATTGTACCTGCTGCCCCCAATGCATGATTGTAAATAAGAGGCGACTCAATTTGGGATCTTATCTGTTCTTTTCTTTCTAAACAACTTTCTTCTTCCTAATGTCTCCCTTGACAATGCCTCACTTTTGGCCTTTAGTTGAGCATTCGCTCGTGAGGAAGGCTTTGGGTTTTGTCCCCTGGCCAAGACACACCAAAGTCTCTAAAAATGGTAATTTCTAATCCTGCTTAACGATCAGCAATTTAGGAGTGGGACGACTGGTTCGCCCGTTGTCAGTATAATGTGACCGGTGGGGTGTCCTGCTGGGTGTCTTCGGCAGTATGTTTCAGTGAGCTAGCACTATAAAGTCGGCACCAGTTCCGCGCTATCACAAGGAGACAAACACGAAAATGTCGCAGCCTCCCAAAACACACTCGCATACGCTACACGCATGCATCTTGCACACAGGGGAGGCCGTCCTTATATGACCTTAGCTGTTGGTGGGACGTTAAACAATACTAAACCAAACCAATCTCTACTTCCAAACAAGCTTAAATATACCTCACTTTCATTGGGCCTTCCATGGAGTTGAGCGTTCGTCCGAGTGTCAGTTTTGAACACAAGGATCAAATCTGTTAAATTTTCAAATGGTGTTCTCGCCGCAGCTTCATATGTTCAAGGTCATATATATGAAGAGTCACTCTTCAAGGAATTAAATGAAAACTCCTATCGGAACTTGAACCGATGTTTGTGGTTTATAGTATGTTGAAACAAACCGCAAATGAAATTTAGCCAACCAACCAAGTATAGTCGGCCAAATCACCGTTCCTTGAATAGGGTTAGTCTGGGCTTTAAGAGGACCTTTTATTAAGTCCTATATATGTCTCTGTATCAGAAACAGCTATACTTTGTAATAAGGGTAGGCTGTGTCATAATTGACATAACAGCAAACACTATCATATAAACGCCGTCTTTTAAACTGCAATCGTGTTTTTAAAGTTCGACGCTTTGTTGGTCCGGCAAATTCCATTTAAAACATGTAAACCTTTAAATGCACTTTGTGTTCATAAAAACAGTCATGTATGTCAAGGCTAGCCTAATATAGAAGTCACATTGTGCCTTGATTGTTTGTACAGATCTTGCAGTTCATCTACGCTACCTTCGTGTATGTGTATGAACTAAACAGGTATAGGTGTCAAGGTATCGTTAACGTCGGCGATGCGTGACCGATCTTCAGTCGCCTGTTACTATGGCACAGAAACATCAAGCGCTGTTTACAGTAACTACCGCGTACTAGTCTAGACGTCTACCCGTGTAACCGGTGTATACATTGGCTTGAGCATAACAGCTGACCAGTGCCACTTATATTGTTTGGACCAGATCAGAAATAATAACCGCCCTCTGCAGCCGATAAACCAGGTAAGCGTTAACGTTCTGTGCCACCGTAGTAGCTTAAAGAGGATTAACTTTAAGACTGCCATGATTTACCGCGCAGTATTGTGCTACGTGTTTTCACGTTGATCAATATATGTACAGGGACATATCAAAATAAAAACTAACAATTCACTATTGATTGCAGTTTAGAATAAAAAAAATTGTAGCACTAGCATTATATACTGCATCGTCTGTGGAGCAAGTTCATGTTATATATATGTTGTTAGTTACCAAAGTAAACAATGCATGTGGCGAACCTGTAAAACATAATTACTGTCAGTTAGATTTACCATGGAAATTATTATATTTCAGCAGACAATTTAAAAAATTCATTTTATTTTAGTATTGTTCAATTTATTGATAAGATGCATCGAACAATAATTAATAGCTTGCACCTTTCATAATATTTTCAAGTGAAATACATGGACAATACCCATGAGGTTTAAATAACTCTTGACATCATATATAGCGGTGTTCATGATGCAGTTTTATTAAAATAGCATGCACTAATAATTTTGTCAGTATATGACTTGACAACAGATGGCAGGCACCTGGCGGTCCAGGCACTCTGTCTATGTAGTACTTCACAGTGTGCAGGATATGATTAAACTACTGAGAAAGAACAATTTTCCATGCGTACAAATATTTATAGCTATTGATTGTGTTAACATCCATCCACCCTGTTTCCACAAGCATCCTGCATCTGTTTGTAAATACATGTGTGTAAAAATATAAAATAGTCTTCCCTACTCTACTATATTGACAAGGTATTACACTAGGAAAACCTGAAACAATAGTAGGGTAGGGAAGACTAATTTACGTACCAGATGCGGATGCTTGTGATGTTCCTCAATTAAATATATGTAGATCTTTAATTGAAGAAAATGTTCTATCACTGTATATATAGCATAAAGTATACATATGTATATGATAAACCTTTCACAGTGCATCATTTTATGATTGAATGTGCTGATTTTAAACCAATGAGTGAAACATTTTATGATCTACCAACTTTGAAAAATCCTTTTTTGCATTGATATATAATTACTTACAAGAAAATATGATTATAAAATAATTCAACCAGAGACATGTATGTAATATGTCTCTGATTCAACACATGAGTTGGTGTATTTTCATGTCCTTTTCATCTTTGACATTCTAACTTTCTGTTTTAAATTTACTGCATTTCTTTTTCTGAATGTCTGTTTTTATGGTGTTAGCTGTTTGGCCCTGAATTACTTGAATTATTGATCAGCCTTAAAACAATAGAAAAACCACACAAACAAGAGAAATCTATGGTAGGTGCATGCACTCACCACTACATGTACCGTGTTTGCTGCAATTAGCACACCCCTCCCCCCTTTTCGGGTGGAATTGAAATTATATTAATTAACCCTTTCCTTCTCCCAGACCTGACCTGGCCTGGCCCAATCAATGATTTACAGTATTTACACTTTAAAGGGATCTGTATTTGGTTATCATGGCTGAACTTCCTTGTGAAGTGGATGAAACATCTGATATCAAAACCTGGATCCAGCCACAATGAAATATTTATAAATGACCTTCTGTACTGAACATTGTATACTGCAGCAATGGTTAAAGTCGTACAACTTGTTTTATCATAATACACATTTTATTATCCTTATAAGCAACCCCATTTTTTTTTATATATATATGAAGTGCCCTGGCTGCTCATCATAATTTATGGAGAATATGGTAATTTGGTTACAAGTAATTTAGCTGAATTCAAGTGATAGCTGGTTAAAATGACGCTCAGGCAAGAAACATGAGCTGATATGTTTGTGTACTTTACTTTTTAATAATTGTCTCGGTCTATACAACAAATGCAGCAATTTCTCAGGAGTAATATTGAGCCTGTGAAAGGATTACTTCCTTCTGGGGCCGAGTCATAGAATATGCTGTATATTTACATATTTATGTAATCGTGTTAAACTTCAGTCCATGATCAAGGTACGTTTAAGTGTGTAATTTATTCCAATTGTCCCTTTAAAACTACCAATAAGAAAATCTAAAAAAAGTTGAACAAATTTAGACTAATTCCTCATGATTTACTGAGTAATCTCTAAATGCAGCATGTGTTAGGACAGAATAATCATTTTAACATACAAATACTGGCTTGAATAAAAGTTAAAACAGTATAATTTTATGTAATCGAGTTAAACTTCAGTCCATGAGTCATTAAAGGCTCAGAAAGATGAGTCTATTTTAAGGTTTAAGTTTCATTTGTCATCAGCTCATTGGGCTACTGTGCAAGAGCATGTTATAGTTATTGTGAAGCAAAATTGACCAATTCAATTAATTTTGAATAGAGGCCATTAATTGTTTAATTTGACTGCCACAACAGTTTTCAACACTAAATATCACCACCAAAGATCAAATGTTTGTTATTTAATTATACAGAGCAATTAAAATAGACTTGGTACACATTTAAAAAAGAAAAAGCAGAATAGAAAAGAAATCTGGATAATTGAAAAATGGACAAACGGGGCCTGTTCGTTAACACGGAACAACCAGTTTTTGGCATAAACAAACAGGCCCCAGGTCTACATTATTTTCAGACATGAGGTAAATTGCTATAGTAGGTCACTCAAATAAATTGATGTAGGAAAGAAATAATGAAATATAGTTATATAGAACAAGAATTATGCGTAATTATATGTGTCACCTGTCCCTCTTTGTAAATATAATAATCATTTGACATAGTACATAAGGAAACGGACCTAAATGCAAAATCATAACATTGATTTTTTTTAAAGTCCAGAAATTTCAGGTTTTTATCCGAAAAAGTGCAGAAATCCATGAAATGTTTTTATTGCAGTAGTCTCCACTAACCATGCTACATCTATGATCGAAGTTTTGTTGGTGTAGCTTTGTCAGAAACAGAGCTAAACGCAAAACTTTAACATTGTTGCCGCCGCAGACACAAAAACCCTGAAAATTATTGAAATAATTTGTTCCTGTGTTAAAAATTTATACAACAAAGAGAAATGCAAAATGTTCTAAAATTACCTCAGGCTGTTGCCCTATATTTACATGATCTATTGATTTATTCTCCTTTACAATTGGGTGCAGGACAATAGATTTGCCTGCCGAGGCACGACATGGTTAATTGCTTGGTGCATAATAGAAACTCATTCACTGTATTGGTGGTATAGCGAGTTGTTTTAAATTGACGTAATAATAGAATAGTTAGTCACAGGTTTAAAAATTTCCGTTAAACTTATGAGAATGGGAAGAATCTCAGCCAATGGGGGAGCGTACACCTGAAATGCATTATATAAAAATAAAATTGTCCACGCATCACTATATTGTCAGCAAACTAGAGAAGATGTATATATAGTTCACACACCTAACTTTTGCCTGTTTATATTATTATTTTTTTATCATCTTTATTTATTTTACAACAATTACAAATCAAGTTATTTCAACTTATATCAATCATCGATTGTTACTTTCGTGGGAGTTTTAATGTGGGAGGAAACTTGAGTACCCGTAGAAAACCCACATGGAAATCTGATACGGCCACCTTGGTGAAAGGCTGTAAATGAATGTGTTATCCACTGCTCCACCCCACCCGACTAGTCGAAGTAAACTACAATAAACAGTGTTTTTTTTTCAAATTTTCTTTCGTATACAGTAACTAACGTGCTAGTTGGCTTTGAAACCATTGCCTAGCTCAAAGTATTTCTGATTCATCAATTGTTGTATTATCAAATACCGTAAATTTGCGAGTATAGTGCGCACTCGGGTATAGAGCGCATGAACGTTTTTGGGGTCAGATTTGAAAGAGAAAAAAAAAGTAGCATCAAAGGTAGCTTGGTGTTTATAATGCCAATTAATTAACAATTGATTTATTGGAGTGAACAGGCCCATGAAGCTACTAGGTCTCCCTGCGTACTGCTTGGAACGAGTGGATGATGGACGAATCCTGCAGAAATCAAACGAAGAAAGTGTAGCATATACAAGCATAAATTGTTCCTTTGTTTTTTTAAAGGATGTACGTAAGGACATACAGGAATGGTCAATGGGATGGAACTGCTCCTCCTAAAAAGACCAAGGCTAAAAAGAACGGGGTAGAAGTAACCATTGACGAACCTGTGAAGTATAAACGATATGGCTGCAAACAGAAAGAAGCCCGTAATGTAACCGAAAAGAAATGCCAGCCCGAGAAAGTGAAAGAAAGACTCAAAGCAAAAGAGGAGACAGGACCTAGTTTCAGTGCAACAGCTGAAACTGTGTCTGCTTGTGAGTTTTCATAACACACTGTGATTTTACCCATCGACATGTATACATTATGCAACAACTTAACTTACATTGAACACTTCAACATAGCTATTTAATTAAATTGATATTCAAGAAATAACTGTATTGTAACATTTTTGGGAGAAATTGCTACTTCAACTAAAACAAATTTGAATACTTACTGTACATTTACAATTATCAACCAAAATGATCATTTATGCATCACAATATCAGTAGTTAATTACATTGAACTATGTAAATTGTACGCATGTTGACAGAATGACTTAAAGTCAATGTGTCGCATGTTTGGTTTCATATAGTAATTTTAAAGAAGCCTCAAGCTTTTTTACTTTATTGAAATCGTATATTTAAAGTTTATTTATTTTACAACAATTACAAAAAATTAAGTTTTGCCAATTTTTTGGCCCACATTGAAACACACCGAGTGTCTCGATCATTATAGGAGGAAACCCGAAGGGGTCAAGTAGGGGACCCAATACCTTTTTATCACATAATGTACTGTTCGTGTTATCCAGTGAATATACCCATGTCATATTTTTTTGCGTATTAATTAACCCATGTGGTATGTCCATCAGCCATGTGATTGGTTGCAAGTTTCAATTGTTTCAATTGTGACGTCATACTAGGACAAGTACATGATGTCACAGACTTGCACACTGGAGTCAAAATGGCGGCTTTTTACATTTCATGGTTGCATGAAATTATCGTTTTACACGAATAAATCCACAAATCTTGATTATGTGATAAAAATGGATCTTACACTCATTTCATTTCATATGAATGGAATGGTATTTATACATGTTGTTTAAAAAGACAGATATAATTTACTAGCAATATCATAAAGGATTTAGTTGTTGTAAAGGCATAATATTTTACAAATTCCTTTACTGAAACACTGTATGCCTATATTCATTTTGAAATATTTTTTTTAAATTTTAGTTTATTTTTCATGCCAATTTACACAAAGATATACAATGGTTAGATTGATTAGGTGTTTTAGAACAACTTTTTCAATGCAGATAACTGGGATTTGATTTAATTTAGACCTCAAGGGGAATGTGAATTGTTTCCTTGTCGTACGCCAATCAGAATCTTATGATTTTAATTTTCAGAATAATATCCCTTTATGAACAAGTTTCAATGAAAAATTATGCTGAAAATGAAAAACTTGTATGAATTTGCGTTGTAGTCCTTGTACTCCTAGAGGACGCCACAGAAGAGGAAATCAAGGGAGATCTTCATGTAGAATCAGTTGATTTCCAAATTCCATCAAATGTGAAAAAACACACCACAGAGAGGTTCAAATGCACGAAGCGAGCAGAAAAGCCAGATTTAGTTCTGAGGCGAGGTTTGTCTTTCAAGATCTGCCTTGGTCTGGACCGAGAATACAGCAAGGCTCACCATGATATAAGCTTCCTGTTTAAAACAGGTAAAGTATAGAGATCATATGGGCACCGTTATTTAGATAAAGTTATGATGTGTTCAGCAATAGGGTGTTGACTGTTGAAGATTGTCTAATATTAATGTTTATGATATAGAGGTGTGTTTTACACTCTGGCATTTGTGTTGAGTTTTTTTATTGCGTAGGTAATTTATATTGACATAAATACAATTGCATACAGCCGGGGCAGGACACGTCAGAACCCAAACCCCACGTTCCGTTTATATAGGAAACATAATTAATACACATACATATGGACTACTGAGTTGGAGAACTGTGCCACGCCCCTGTGCATTTTTATAAGTCAATATGGGTTTATTTTGAAGATAATAATTCCTCAATAAATATTCTTTGTAAAACTTAACAATATTTTGTATCATCAGACAGTTTCTAAATGCTTCAGGTGAAGGTATGACGAGAGACACAAGTATCATAGTCCGCATGAATGAAGACAAACAGGATGATGACTCTAAAAAGGGGAGAAATTGGCATGCACAGCTGGTGTCTATGGATGGAAAATCGATCATGGTAGAAATCACCATTCCGCCTAACGTCATCATCGGTCACTGGCAAATGTCTGTGCAGTCTTTTACCCTACACAAGGGGGAGGACACTATAGCTCTGCAGTACGACTCCGACCAGGACGTGATCTTCCTTTTCAATCCCTGGTGCCCAGGTATTAAATTAATTAACATCTGTAACCAATCATTGTAAAGATATCCTTTGTCCAATCCTTAACTCATTTCTCCCTGAAATTTCATAATTAATTATTCCAGCCTTTGAATTGATAGAGTTCAAATGTCTCTTCAAGGGTGAATGAGTTAATCACATAGGTATATACCCTATAGCTGGTTGATTTTGCTAACTTATTGAGGATTACTGGAAACCCCTGCAGGTCCAGGGAAAGACTTGCTGTATACATCCTAAGTCATGTTATTAAGTAAATGGTGACTCCTTTAGGGGTCCTTGCAGACTTCTGAGATTCCTTCTGTGTCTTCTGCCAAGGGGACAAATAGAAGAGACCAAAATTGATCTGCATGCTGCCCTCATTGCAACACTTTGAATCTTTATCTTTAATTTGTCTTCCTTACCCTTCCCTTTTGGTTGTGTCTCCCTAGGCACCATGCAGTCCTATATCAATCATTATTTTTTTGTTTTTTACTGATGAATTATATCTGTTCATGGTTTCCTATGTTCAGATGTTCATTCATGGTATCAAAAATGGTGTAAACAATTTCTTTTTTTTGCAAGTTTCAGTCACTTGAAATACTGTACTACTAATGGTATAAATAGTTTAGAATCCCAAAATGTGTCATTATTTGCAACAAATCTATGCGTAATGACAGGTCATCCTCGATACTCCAGGGGTAACGCTCAATTACGCTCTCTGCATACCTGGAATATGTCAGCAAAATTGAAGGCACACAGCTAAGAACCTGACCAATTGCCTGGGTGGTTTAACCTGTCCTTTGAAGATAACAGACTTCAAAGCCAATCAGTCTTACTGTTACAGGAGTACAAGATTCTTTAACTAAATATACATCAAAGGATCAGACAAGTCAGGGCATTCCTCTATACCCCATTGAGTAGTCGTTCATTTCTGCTCTATACGTGACAGATTTTATGATGTACCTTCTACGAAAAGATTATTCGATACAGTTTCTGTGCTATTTATATAATATACGACTATTTACACTCTATTGATCTTTACAATAAAATATGATTTATTGTGTAGTCAATTTGTTCGATATTGATGTATTTCGTTAATCCTTTACATATTTTAAGCTATTAGGTTTTGGTTTGATGTGTTTATTTTTGGGAATGTCTCTTTTTACACTGTTGTTTGGCCCTAATTGACTCACATTGTCGATGGGCCGTTAAACAATACAAAACAAAAAAATAAAAATGCAGCCCTGGAATATGTCATGACAAAATTGAAGGCTCCCTGAGTGTGCACCATCTTGTGGGTAACACAATGTACAAGAAGACTAGTTTAATCCTTTCATTAACATTAAAATAATATCGTTGTTGTGTAAGGGTCCTTTCTTCAATGAACCTTGGGGATATGTGTATATTATAAAATTTGACATATGGAAAATGTAATAGACAAGTGAAAAATATTGATACTGCAAAACTTATGTACCTTCAATACGATCAATGAAATTTAATCGCAAGTAAGTTTAATTTTCTCATTTTGAATGTCAATTTTTAAAATTTAAAAATCCTTGAAAGAATTGTTGTACATGTATAAAGTAAGAATATGGTCCCTATTGGAGTTAAGAGACAATCAGGCCCAAAAGAGGGGGATTTGGGATTTTAAGTCTTTGAAAAGCCTAGCTATACTCTTCCTGAGCCGACAGTTGATTGCATTTCAACCAAATTTGCTAGAAGCATCTTAATGGAACCAAGGAATCAAATGTTATGTATGAAAGAATGATGATGCCCCCCAAGACAGCACATGAGCCCACAATTTGGAAGTATTTGCAATATATTTTAAATGAAAATACTTTGATGATCATTATTGAATTATCCCTAACTTTATCTTTTAGTCTGTTAGTTGTCACTTGACCATGCAAAGTTATGTTCAATGTTTTAAAAGTTTAAACATTCACAATTTTGAAATGTTTGCATTTTTTTAAAGTTAGATAGATATATCCACAGGCGAATTATTATTTTATGATTTTATAAATTATGGATATATGCATGTATAATGGAATGACTTAAGATCTATTAATTGCCAACAGGAAGATTTCCACATTACATCATTTTAAAAAGCCCCAACATGAACATTTACACACACGAAAATGTTCACTTTCACAGTTAAGCACATGCACTTGAGTGTCCGGATATTTAATAATTACAACTTTGGCATGCATTGTAGAGGACACCACTTACTTCCCTACCTCCGCGCTGTTGGATGAGTATGTTTTGAACGACAAAGGCGCTGTCTATCAAGGCAACTACAGACAGATAAGTGCTAAGCCATGGAGATTTGGACAGGTTAGTTTTTACTGTAGCATTGTTTAAACACTTTTAGTTTACCAGTACCGTATTTGACCGCAAATAAGCCCCCACCCCTGGTGGAAAAAAATAGACCAAAAGTAGGGAGGAGGCTAAATTGCGAGTATCCCCCCGTTCACAAATGTCCGCCATCTTAGATATACCACTGTTTTGATCTATGACCACACTTAATAACATGATCATATATTGTAAATATGACAGCCAGTAAAAAGCCTTATGTCAATGTATACAGTTGCAGTAGCCTCATACACGGGAATTAATTTCAGTTCAATCTATAGTTAGAACTATTATGAAAAAAATTAGGTGAGAACTATTTTTGAATTAAGGACAGTCCGTCCAGCTGTGTGTTTGTTTAAAAAACCTTGCATGCGTTATGGCCTTTTCATTAAGTATACAATTTTTTTTTATTATGTCTCCCCTTCGAATGAAGGGAGACATATTGTATTAGTACTGGTTCTTCTTCTGCTTCTTCTTCTTCTGGTTCTTCTAATCGCAACTTGTCCGGGCCATAACTCTCAAGTCGTTAAAGATATCTTGATGAAACTTTAGGTATGCATGCATCACTCAAGGAAGAGGTGCAATGCACTGGAATAAGGTCACTGTGACCTTCATCCCAAGGTCAAAGGTCAAATAAGTGCAACAGTAAATTCAGTAAATTCTTGTCCGGCCGTGCACAGGAAATAGGTCCCGTGCCCCGCTATATACAGAGTTATGGCCCTTTGTTTATTTTTAATACCAAAGTTTACCCGGAGCATAAAATCCGTGTTATTTCACCTACATTGACCAAACTTACCATATTTATGTATCTTGGGAAGGTGGAATCTCTTGCACTAAAATCAGGTTTTGTGCCCCCCTATATACAGAGTTATGGCCCTTTGTTTATTTTTAATACCAAAATTTGTCCACATCATAATTAACTTCCATGTTATTTCACCTACATTGACCAAACTTGCTAGTTTTTATGTATCTTGGAAAGTAGGAGTGCCAAATTCTAAATTTGGGTCTCGTGCCCCACTAGAGAAAGAGAATGGCCCTTTGTTAATTTTTTATACTGAAGTTTGTCTATTGGCTAATAAGGGGAGACATATGTTTTTGTAGTTTGAAGAGATGTCAAATTAGAAAATGTAAATTATTCAAGCAAAAACAGTCCTGAAGCAACTTCAAGCAAGTACCTAACACATGAGCCAATAATTACCATATTAAATAGAAAAATATGAAACGATAACACAAGGCTGATGTACTCCTTAATAACTCCCAAGAACTGTTCTAGCTGTCACTGCCTGTTATTGATAATGTTGTACTGTTCTCAAATGAAGAGTAATTATTGAAAATTCTGCCATGTCTGTTGTTTCACAGTTTTTGTTCATTGATTAATAACTAATTGTATTTGTGAGTTATAATTTGTTATGCTTGTGCAAGTTGCTTTGTATTATTTTTTAGCAAACCTTAATTGTAACTGAAATTCTCTTCAGAAAAACCTCCCCAATTTACAGCTGTAAACATGACATCATTTCGTTTTGACTTGATCAAACATTTCTGGGCCCAGCTAAATTATGCTCTCCTGTGTTTATGGGCCTTTATAAGCATGTAATACTAATATAACATGCAGTACTACTAGAACTGGTTTATCTTACCAAGTGAGCTTAGGTAGGGTACATGAATGTTTTTATCATATTAGCTAATCTGTTACCCATAATACATATCCTCCAGTAATAAATATCACTGCAAAAATCATTTGGTTTCAGTTTGAGGAGGGAATCTTGGATATTTGCCTGATGGTTCTCAACAAGGCGTTTGATTGGATGATATCTGCAGAAATGGCAGACCCTGTCCTGATTTCCAGAGCTATATCCAGCATTGTATGTAAAATGGTTGTTCTAAATACTGCAATCTTAAATTACTTGTAGCTAGAATCTGCAGTAAATACTCATGGGCAGCAGTCATGTATATTTTTGCTAACCTGGCCCAAACAAAAATGACTTATTCAAAGTAATATATACATAAAGCTTTCAAGGTAGAATGTGTTAAAGCCATCAGATGATCCATGAGGTCAAGATTTAAATGATATTGTCCTGTGTACGTTTTCTGGTGGAAAAGGCTTTCAAGTAAGTGTCCCTGTTAGTGACCTAAAACAGTATACCATTTTTTGTGTCGCCTGCAACGCGAGGCCACATATAGGTTAGCGTCAGTGTCATTGGTAAAATGCGTCATCCGAAACAAGGTTTCCGTGCGATAACTTGAGTTCCCTTGTGTTGATTAAACTCAAACTTGGATACATATTGCATACTACATTGTAATAAAACTTGTACAAGTTTGCATTTCGGTAAGTTTACGTGCAATTTTAGTGGAGTTATGACCCTTTTTATTGCCAAATAACGGCATTGTGTAGTAAATGCAAGAACTTTTTATTTTTTAATCAATTCCTTTTAAATTGTGTACGTTAATGCTAGAAGCAATAATGTTCAACACATATAATGGGTTTTTCTGTCGAGTTTTAACTTTCTGCGTTTTGGCATATCTGTTTACGCGATAACTCAAGCCAAAACACTTTTCTTACTAAAAGCGCTGAGCAGGCGACACATCCACTACCTTGGAATTCTTGTTTCAACACAGGGGTCAAATAGATACCAGTCTTGTTGTAGTGACTAAGAATTTGAACAGGATGCATTATTGGGATGAAATGATAAGGGTGGCTGTACTCCCATTTCTACAACATCATAACGCTTTTTTTCAAAAATATGAAATGCCAGCTCATAGCTGCATGTGGAGCCAGCAGTACTATTTTGCAGCAAACAAGCATTGAGTGTTTGATTGGCCATCTTAATTATCTGACATGTTGCCAATGATATAGCTAGTGAACGTTTGGGATTTCTTTGGTGATGTGTTAGGAAACATTGGTTGGTTGACTTGCAGGATTTGGCCTAATTATTGACCATTAATTGGGACAATGACCCTGCTTAAATAAATTTATCCATTTTATGCTTTACAAGTTCATTGTGATGATGCTGCAACACTACTACAGTGTAAAAGGTGGTCATATGTGGGCGCTAAATGTGTGACTTAGGAAACCCAACTTACCCTGCATTAACGTCTATAATAAAGTAAATTCAGTGCAGCATTTTCTTTCGCAATTTTATTATGATATCTTTAAAACCAAAATTTCAATGGATAAAATGATACCAATTTAAATAGTCGCAACAAAAGGGATAAGTTTATGAAATAAGTAGTGTTTATCTTTCTATAATGAAAAAAAAAAATTGTCTTCCTTGTCTATGGTTGCCAGGTGAACAACAATGACAACTATGGCATTTTGGTAGGAAACTGGAGCGGTGACTATACAGGTGGGAAGTCACCCACTTCCTGGACTGGCAGTGTCAAAATTCTGAAACAATACAATGAGAACCGAGAACCGGTCAAGTTTGGGCAGTGCTGGGTTTTCTCTGCCCTAGTGGTCACAGGTAGGTGCTGTCTAATTGATCCCGCAATGTACTCAGTCAATAGATTTTACAAAGAACTGTTTTGGGTTTTACCTGACCTTGGATGAAGCTAAACTTGGAATATAGTTATATTGACCAACACTTAGGTGGACCACAGGATTGGTTTTTTTTGAGATCCTTACTCAATCTTTTTAGCCCACCATCATCCGATGGTGGGCTATTCAAATCACCCTGTGTCCGTGGTCCGTCCGTCGTCCGTCCTTAAACAATTCTTGTTATTGGTATTTCTCAAGAAGTACCAGAGGGATCAAATTTTATATGTAGGTTCCCCTTGGTCCTTAGCTGTGCAGGGCAACTTTTGAGACTGATCGGATAAACAACATGGCTGACAGGAAGCCATCTTGGATTTAGTTAGTGAAAGTTTGTTATCGCTCTTTCTAAAATTTTATATGTAGGTTCCCCTTGGTCCTTAGCTGTGCAGGGCAACTTTTGAGACTGATCGGATAAACAACATGGCTGACAGGAAGCCATCTCGGATTTAGTTAGTGAAAGTTTGTTATCGCTCTTTCTAAAATTTTATATGTAGGCTCCCCTTGGTCCTTAGCTGTGCAAGGCAACTTTTGAGAGTGATCAGATAAACAACATGGCCGACAGGCAGCCATCTTTGATTTTGATATTGAAAGTTTGTTATCACATTTTCTCGGGAAGTATCTTAGGGATCATTCTCAAATTTTATATGTAGGTTCCCCTTGGTCCTTAGCTGTGCAGGGCAGCTTTTGAGACTGATCGGATAAACAACATGGCCGACAGGCAGCCATCTTGGATTTTGATAGTGAAAGTTTGTTATCGCTCTTTCTCAAATTTTATATGTAAGTTCCCTTGGTCCTTAGCTGTTCAAGGCAACTTTTGAGAGTGATCGGATAAACAACATGGCCGACAGGCAGCCATCTTGGATTTTGATAGTGTAGGTTTGCTACTGCTATTTCTCCGGAATAACTAGAGGGATCTTTCTCAAATTTTATACGTAGGTTCCCCTTGGTCGTTAGCTGTGCAGGGCAACTTTTGAGACTGATCGGATAAACGACATGGCCGACAGGCAGCCATCTTGGATTTTGTTATTGAAAGTTTGTTATCGCTATTTCTCAAGAAGCACCAGAGGGATCTTTCTCAAATTTTATATGTAGGTTCCCCTTGGTCCTTAGCTGTGCAGGGCACAGACTGATCGGATAAATAACATGGCCGACAGGCAGCCATCTTGGATTTTGATAGTGTAGGTTTGTTACTGCTATTTCTCCAGAAGAACTAGAGGGATCTTTCTCAAATTTTATATGTAGGTTCCCCTTGATCCTAGCTGTGCAGGGCAGTTTTAGAGACTGATTGGATAAATAACATGACCGACAGGCAGCCATCTTGAATTTTGATAGTGAAAGTTTGTTATCGCTATTTCTTGGGAAGTACGGGAGGGATCTTTCTCAAATTTTAAATGTAGGTTCCTCTTGATCCATCCTTGTGCATGTTATATTTTGAGACTGATCATAAAAACAAAATGGATTAAAAGACGAACTAAGCAGATCTTTCTCATATTGCAATGATCGATTCTATTTCTTTCACATTAAAGGGGCATCACGGTGAAGTAACTTTATTTTTTGTCTTTTTTTCAAATACTACATAAAAATATCAAGTGAGACTCCTTATGGAAAATAACGATCGAATTTGGCTGAAATAGATTCATAAAAAGGAGAAAATAACTGCCGTAGCAGTTAGTACGGTGCATGTATTCTTCCGGATAGCCGGTTAAGCTGAAATGCTAGCACTGTTTATGTTATGAATAAATATCTAAAACTATTAAGCTTGGTAGTATCTTTGTCTGAGTTTGAACACAGATGAACTTAGTTCAATATGTTAATGGGCATGTATTGGAGAGAGTTTACTTTGTGTTTCTATAATAATACAGTGGTTTATGCGAAAGGAAGGGTAAGTGACTGGTTAGTTTGATTTTGCCATGAGGCCCTCCAAGGGATAACTGTTGTGATGGCCCACGGCGTATTTTCTGGGTCATCCAGATACGTGTTATCTAAGTCGGTGGATTTACATAATTTATAATATTACCGGGTTCAATAAAATGGTATGATTTAATTATATTGCTGAATTAAACGATTATTTTTGTTTTTACATGCAAGATTTAAATTAGTACTTATATGAATACCCGGCCTTCTCTGCCCCGGCAATATATAAAAAAAATCAGAAAGGTTTGTCCCTTGGTGTAGGGAAGGTGTTTAGCTCCGTACCATCTGTACCGGCCACATTCCGGTACTAAATGCAATATATATTTAAATATATCTACTTTATGTTTATGCCTATTATCATTGTTGACATTTAGTTGTAAATGTATGACGGGAGAAGTCTGTGATCAATTGTAAAAACTTGTGCCCCATCCCATGTTTAATTTTATTGGCAACAAATTTATGTTTAAAGCTAAATAAATTTAAATTCTGAACATTGGCAAGTGTGCAATTAACTTCTAATAATGAATAATTACTGTTCAATAAGTTTGAATACGGACTTAGAAATCCTATAACTTGGTTTCATAGTGCGGTAAGAGGTTGCAGTTGCCTAACGGCCCCTCTCTGGGGGCCCCTTTGGAAACCGTTTCATCTTGCTCGCACCACTTGTGTTTACTGCCTAGTCAGGTGACGTTATCGGCCCAATTTTAGCAGGGCTTTCCCAAACAATTCAAGTGGTCAAACTGGACATTTGGAACGGACTATGAATATGGGGATAGCGAGGTAACATAAGTGGAAGTGCATACAATACATACATTCATTAAAAAAAACAACGCCTTTTCACGTGATGTCCCTTTAAGTACTGTACTGTAAATATGTGAAATGACAAACTCACTTTGAAGGTTGGCTTTCATACACATCAGTATTAAGTTTAGATCAAAAGTTACCTCAAGGTGCATTTACAGTTAACATGACTCGATCAAACAGATTAGAGGAAAGAAAATAAAGGTCGAACTGACAAAGAACTAATGTCATTAGTCTAATGAAGATGGTACAAAGTTGGGCGCCAAGATCCCTCTGGGATCTCTTTTTTGATAATTATTGTTAATGTTCCGGCTTAAGTTACATCACAATGCAAGGGAGGTAATTCTTGCATTTTTAACTATAATACTACAATACACAGTCCTGTAATTGACAAACATGATACGTTTCAGAAACAATAAATATAAAATGAATCAATCAATGAGAGTCATGAAATATTAGTGTTACAGAGGTCATTATTTATTCAATGCCTCTGCTAGGATTTGAACCCAGGGTCTCTGGCTTACTAGTCTTAATTTACGCTCTGCCGAATTAAAGCTTAGAAGAGAAATTCTCCCTAGCCGAGTCAGTAGAAAGCGGCTAGTATTTTACCAGGGTGATCGACGCACTCCCCCTCCAGGAAAGAACTCATCCCTAGTTTTCTAGGGGTCATAGCGATTCTTGTGAAAGTATCGCTGAGTATATTTGTCAAATATCCCGGGTCCCTAGATGGGTGCCAATGTCACAGGGGTCATTATTTTTGTCGATGCCTCCGCTAGGAGTCGAACCTGGGACTTCTGGTTTACTAGTCTTTGCGCTCTACCAAATGAGCTGAAGAGAAATTCTTCCTAACCGAGTCAGTAGGACGCAGCTAGTACTTTACCAGGGTGACAAGTGGAAAGTGAAACTTATACTGGGGTGAACAATTAAAATTCAGAAATGAAGTTACTTACAGACTGATAGGCTACATTTATAATAGAAAGGAGATGGGCTTATTACCAGGCATGCGCCTTTTATACAGGGGAGAATAGGGGAGTGGGCTTTGATATCAAAAGGCATTCAGGGCATATGGTTAATTATGATAATCGCTGGGATCAAAGTCTAGCATAAATAGCTGAAAATACTGATTGATTAAATAACATGATTTAATTAGATAAGTTGTCTGAAAACTACATTTGACAATATAAAATTCTGGATATTTTGTACAGCCATTTTCTAAAATTACAATCTCCACAAATCCGGATATTATGTAATAATTTGTCTTGTATGTTAGGCTTTCGGAAAAACATTAAAATGGATGTATGCCGTTGAAACTGCATTGTTTAATTTGTCTGATTGCTACACTTATGATTTATTATGATACTCACTGGTGTCAAAGTGTGACTACGTTCATACAGAGCAGAATATATACCGATGTACAAGCCATTTGAAAGCACATTAATGTGTCAGATTTTTAATTGGGGCCATATGATATTTGAGTTGAAATTCAGCCAAAATTCCTGAGAGAAAATGTGGCTAATTTCCCATTCTATCTTTTAATTTCCCAGTCATAAAAAAACGTTCTCAGTTCTCAGCAAAGTTCACTCAGCCAGGGTACATAATCTTGACACAGAGTGCAGTTGTAAAAGTTAGTTGCATTGTTGGAACTAATTCCTATTTAGCATGGCGGGACAAAACAGTCCGACAGCTTTGAACTGAGGTGGTCTCCTATGCCCACATACCAATGAATTTATTTACCAACACATTCATCCAAAAAAGGTAAATGTCGGTAATTGTACAAATATTCATCCTTTACGTCAAAGACAATCTGCTGCTGGATCAGTATAGAGACCTTGTACCTTGTAACCTTGCTTCTACCTGCTCCTTAGAAATTAGAGGCAGTTTTTTCAGACTTTTGCTCCCGTATTGCTATTTGTCATGTCATTTACTAAAACATCTAAAAACATTCTGTGTCAAATTAAATTTGCAGTATTATTACTATTAGTCACATAGTGTTAAACTAATTAAAATTCATCTTGAAATGAAAAGGCATTTTCCAAATGTGATGCACTTCTGCATTGCAGGAGGAGTTATGCGTTGCGAAACCAATGATGTAGTGGAAATAAGTATCCTGAGTATGCGAACAAAATGGTTTTTTTCATCTAAATTAAACTTGGATGAGGGGATTAATATTGAATATGGTCAATGTTTAGATCTTACAAGCACATGCTATGAACATATGCAAGACCACACACTTGTGTATTTCTAACGAATCAGAAAGCACAAGTTTATTGCGTGGACGAATATAGTACATCTGCGCAATAAATGAGTGCTTTCTGAATTGTTAGAAAAACACAAGTGTGTGGTCTTGCTTTTATCACATACCTTCCGTATTTGGTAGCGATCGATACAACGATTTTATAAACTTTGATATTTTTTGCAAATACACCGGGAACTTTTCAGTTCGCCATGACAAGGGGATTCCCATAAAAAGTTGTTCCGGCTAGTAGGTAAATACAACATTCCGTATTGCAATACAGAACGTTGTATTTCATGGTCTGAAAATTGCTTGTATTACTATAACAAGATTCAACAGGTATGTGATAAAATTATTAACCAACCCATCAGCTGTTTAATTAGTAAAATTATTCAAAAGATGCTGACAGAAAATAATAGAGGTTATGTTTGAAGACGAAGTTCTTTATTTCTTACACTGTGAATGTCTTTAGTTTGCAGAGCGCTAGGTCTGCCTTGTAAGAGTATCACAAACTTCGCTTCTGCACACGACTCTGACGCAAGTTGTACTATTGACAGTGTGTATGAGAAAGACGAAAAAGGCGAACTAAAACCTGTAGAGAAACACAATACGGACTCATGCTGGTATGTGGTGTCAACAGCTTTTAATACTGTTTTACAAGTATTTTTTGTGAGTAACTAGTTTTCGCTTTATTGTATCATAAAGTATATTTAAGATATCCACTATGGATTATTTACGAATACTTCGCCTTATTTTATATAAAATTTACTGTATATCGGGGCTTCAAAATTAGCCCAGTCAAATTTTTGCTCTACACATATAAATGCACTTTTGCCAATCTTAATTTCACCTGTACATGTGATGACTATGTGTATTATGTTGTTTACCAATGTTCGCTGTTACGATCAGTTTGCCCTCCATCACCGAGGACGAAAAAGGGAAAAAATGAACAGCAACGAAAATGTCCAGTATACAGTCTAGTTCTTATTAGCAATTTCTAAATACAATTTTAAAAATGAACAAAAAATATCATAGACCTTATTTCGTGTAGGAATTTCCACGTTTGGAACGAGGTATGGATGGCAAGGAAAGATCTGCCTCCAGGTTATGATGGTTGGCAGGCCATCGATGCTACTCCGCAAGAGAGAAGTGAAGGTAAGACAAGGATAAACTGTAAAGTACACCTTGATTTGTGTCAACTATATATATATGTAACCGGGTATCAAATTGACCACCAAGTCATTGAATTATTTGTCGTGAATTCTTCATTCTCAACATAGGTTTAAACACCTATACTCTGTAACGAACATAAAAGACTACAATACTCAGAGCGTGTACACATTACACATATAGGTTACAAGGAAGGGAGGTAACTCGTAGATAACACTAGTTACATTTAACACAAAATATAAACTATAAAATATAGACACATTTAATTACATTTGACTAAGATATTGACTTTGTAAGAACTACTATTACAATCATCTTATTCAAATTATATTAAATAGCTAACATAACGTATAACATCAAACTGATTTTTCAGAACGAAAGATCTACTATCCTATAAATCACTTGCAAAGATCTACATCATAATGAATATAGATAAACTGGGTTTTCCCATAAATAAGTATAACATTTAAGCATATAAGAGGTATTCACCTGTGTATGGCACAGAGCCGTTTCAACCCCATACAATATATCACCGATACTCCATGATTCCTTCCTTTTGTTTACGTGATAACATCTAAAATGCATACATACAGAAGATAATGGAATCATTTAATCATTACTCATTTATATTTAAATTGAAGCAAATACAAAATACTACTTTACACAATGTAAAGTTACAACTCAAAATGGAGATTTTGAATATAGAGAATAATTTAATTTAAATGCCAAACTAATAAAGTTTACAGCTTAAATCCATACTATACAATATAGCTAGATACAATAGATTGAAATACTACTTTACTTAAAACATCACTTACCTACAAATTATCTGTCTGTCTTTCAGTCCCTTTGTACTAATTTTCCTTATTACAAAGAGATTCCCGCCAAACTGACCAAAGGGTATTATTATAGTTTGACCAATAGAAATATGCACAGCAATCACATGTACGTCATGTGATATATAAAAATAGAACTATACAGGTAACGGTGATATATATGTAGCAGGGTTCAATTGTACATAGGATTAAGGTCGCCTTCTAGCTTCGAGCTAGAGGGAATTTCCCTTTAGCTCAGTGGTTACAGAGCATCCGACTAGGAACCTGGAGATTGAGGGTTCGATCCCCGGTGGAAGCACACTATTCTCTTTCCTGTTACACATAAAAATAGAACTACAGGTAAGTAATCAAATAATCACTCCTGTAACCTATACTATCCCACACATATCTCTTTTACACACTCAATCTGGGCACAAACAAATAGACATGTATACATACAAATTAGATAAAACAAGATAGTAATTACCCTATTACATATATACATGTACGAAAATTGTATGAAATACTTGCTGATTGGCTTATTTATTTGTGCGAGTCCTGAAAGTTTAACCAAACATTGACTTGTTTTCCCTGTTGTACTTATAGGCATGTTTGCCTGTGGACCTGCCCCCATCGCGGCAATCAAAGAAGGAGACTGCATCATAAAATACGATACCAGATTCTTATTTTCTGAGGTCAATGCAGATCGTGTATATTGGGAAATAGTAGATGGCATCTGGAACAAGTTAAGAGTTGCAAGACACTCGTAAGTTTCTGTCATCATTTCATTATTTTGCAAGTTTGTTGGATCCGTAGACAAAGATAAGTTTCATTTAACATGTTCACCAGTTGTGTTTAATTTAGAAATTCACTTACATACTGTGTAAATAGAGGCAAAATTAACACTTACATACTGTGTAAATAGAGGCAAGATTAACACTTACATATACTGTGTAAATAGAGGCAAGATTAACACTTACATATACTGTGTAAATAGAGGCAAGCTTAACACTTACATACTTTGTAAATAGAGGCAAAATTAACACTTACATACTGTGTGAATAGAGGCAAAATTAACATTTACATACTGTGTAAATAGAGGCAAAATTTACACTTACATACTGTGTAAATAGAGGCAAAATTAACACTTACATACTGTGTAAATTGAGGCAAGATTTACACTTACATACTGTGTAAATTGAGGCAAAATTAACACTTACATACTGTGTAAATAGAGGCAAGATTAACACTTACATATACTGTGTAAATAAAGGCAAGATTAACACTTACATATACTGTGTAAAAAAAGGCAAGATTAACACTTACATATACTGTGTAAATAAAGGCAAGATTAACACTTACATATACTGTGTAAATAGAGGCAAGCTTAACACTTACATACTTTGTAAATAGAGGCAAAATTAACACTTACATACTGTGGAAATAGAGGCAAGATTTACACTTACATACTGTGTAAATAAAGGCAAGATTAACACTTACATATACTGTGTAAATAGAGGCAAGCTTAACACTTACATACTTTGTAAATAGAGGCAAAATTAACACTTACATACTGTGTAGATAGAGGCAAGATTTACACTTACATACTGTGTAAATTGAGGCAAAATTAACACTTACATACTGTGTAAATTGAGGCAAGATGTACACTTACATACTGTGTAAATAAAGGCAAGATTAACACTTACATATACTGTGTAAAAAAAGGCAAGATTAACACTTACATATACTGTGTAAAAAAAGGCAAGATTAACACTTACATATACTGTGTAAATAAAGGCAAAGATTAACACTTACATATTGTGTAAATAGAGGCAAGATTAACACTTACATATACTGTGTAAATAAAGGCAAAGATTAACACTTACATATTGTGTAAATAGAGGCAAGATTAACACTTACATATACTGTGTAAATAAAGGCAAAGATTAACACTTACATATTGTGTAAATAGAGGCAAGATTAACACTTACATATACTGTGTAAATAAAGGCAAGATTAACACTTACATATACTGTGTAAATAAAGGCAAAGATTAACACTTACATATTGTGTAAATAGAGGCAAGATTAACACTTACATACTGTTTAAATAAAGGCAAAATTAACATGAGTTCAAATATACATCTTTTTCTCCTGCAAGGAAACAATTGCACATGAGCATTTCAAGTGAGATTTATTTTCTTCGTCATAAACTAACTTGCAGCTGAATATGTGTGAAACTTTATTTGTATACATTGTAGCTTGTTTCTAATGTCTCCTGATCAAGAGAATTTCATGTGAAAGGTTAGATTTTTTTTGTAGGTGAACTGAATGCTCATTTAAAATAACTTCATGGCCTAAACTTGTGTAACTCACAAATTTTATTTTTTTTAAATGGCAGAATAAATGGTCTGAAGAAGTAAACAATAAGCTATTAACAATTCAACCTAATGTGGGTTCATTTGCAACAAGTAGAGCAGATGGCATGGAGGCAGTTGTCCTTTCGTGACTTCACTATGCCATACCTACATGTACATCACACACATGGTTACATTTACGTAAGGAGTACCAGCCTTATTGTCATGCATGTGATCAACCATGTTCGGTGCAACACTTTATGATTGAATGCACTGATTTCAAACAAATACGTAACATATTCTATTATGTATTGTCTATGAAAAGTCTATTTGATACAGCTTCTGTGCAATTGCTATCATATATTACTATTTACAGTCATTTGATCTTTATCTATGATATATATTTTTTGCAGCAAATTTGTTTGCTATTGATATATTTCTAAATCCTTTAGATATTTTAATGTAAAAAATTAGTTTCAGTTTGATATTTTAATATTTGTGAATGTCTCTTTTTACAGTGTTGTTTAGCCCGAAATGACTCCCATTGTTGATGGGCCACTACACAATACAAAACAAACAATCACTTTAATCTATTGTTTAAATAGGTAACTACATCATCATGGGCCGTAGGCTTTCATGTCCTTATTAGGAATTGCATAATTCATACTTTGTCATCTGTCCTGCAATAATACATTTGGCAAATTGGGCTCATGCATTCCCCGGACACCAACTCTGGAAAATTCAAAGGAAGGTGTTTATATAGGAAATCCTTTGAAGTTTAGTTAAAGCCTATAGCTGTTTCAACTAAGAATATCAACTCATTTTGTAGATATGATACCAAAGTCAATAATAAAATGGATAGAAAGTTTTTATTCATACATATAATAACTGTAATACACATTTTATACAGCACTAAGAAATAGAAAATAATCATTAAATATTGATATTTACATTATATGGAGAGAAAAAAAATAACATTACATTATATCAAAAATAAAATTCCTTAATACAAGCGACATTGATACTAATGTCAGCTATAAAATAAAGTTTCTATTCATACATATAACAGTAATACACATTTAATACAGCACTAAAGGATAATGATTACCGGGTAATTAACTTTTGATTACAAACCAATTATCGATTACGATTTTAAACTAATTGTCTATCATCAGAGTTATACAGTATCATTAATTAGTATTTATTACATTAACAATTCTCATAAAATATTTTTAGAGTTGGAAAGAAGATTAGCACCAAGAATCCAAATGATCTAAGATCCCTGGAAAGACACGATGAAACAGCATGTTATAAGCACTCAGAAGGCAAGTTTTTTAGATTTATTTTTCTTACTAATCCTAAATTAAAGAAAATTGAGATTTCAGCTCCGATTCAATATTCATTTTGAATTTAAATCTTGAAGTTCTTAGGTGTTATTATTTCATCTGAATTCAAAATTCTCTCATTGCTTAAATTTACCAAATACACAAGTTTTATAATACTGGCAAACACAATTGTGTGTTTGTATATTTTTTCAGTTGTACTTTCTTCCTTTTCTATGTTAAGAATGTTTATCTGATGAGTTAACAGTGATACTGTCATTCACAAAAGAGAACAATGTTCTTTGCAACAAATATTATTGTTGATTATAAGAAAATAAATTGCAGTAAAAATTACATGTAATACAGAATAATATATTACAATGAATTTTGTCTCTCACCGAATTAACGGCATTGAAATTGTGACATCAGAAATGTATGGTTTGAGTATCAGAAGGATGATATTGTTCCAACAACTTTTTTTCAATACAGAAGCCTTAGAGGCGGTATATAGGAATAAGAAATTGGATAACCAAACTACACGGTAGTGAAGCAGACATGAAACCATTCAAATAAACAAATGGAAACTTAAATAAAATCACATAAATACTACAACGTGCCAAGGTTTTCTACTCGGGGTAATCGTGTTATCTGTTTACAGGATCAAAACAGGAGCGTTACGCGGTCATGAAAGCAACCTCTTCGTCTACTGTTAAAAGAGACACGGCAGAGATCCCCCAAGTAAGGCTTTTATAACAAGTTTCTGTTCACCTGTAATGTAATGATTTGTGAAGTAGGTTTTCATTTCGTATGAGATTGATTCTGAATAAGATAACAGTCTATTTTTGTCCATTTATAAATTTAAGCCCCTGAAACACAAATAAATGTAAGATCTCTTAAATTCTTCACATGATCAAGAATTTAGGTGACACTGCTAAAAACATACTTTTACAGTATCATTAATGACCTTTTAAGTTTTATATTGGCTCTATTAACTGTCTGCTTATTCATGAAGTTATCAATATATATCATCAGAAAGTCGGTGACGTCATATCATTATCATTTTATGGCCTCATGCATGTATATGCATGTATAGGACACAAGACATGAGTTAGTTCAAACATTAGGGTAAATACCCTCAGTCATTATTATGTAACATCTTCCTAAATATGATAACATTTAAACCCCAACCTATAGTACTTCTCCTACCTTAAGCGTGTGACATTACACCCTCAGTTTCAGGTTAGACAATATCATAATTGAATTAATCACCCTGAGCGATGGATATTTCTCTGTTACACCTTCAAGGTGGGGGGGATTATTTTTCTCCCATCAATCTAATACTATGTTTAACAAGCCACTAACTTAAAAAGCAAAAACTTGATGTTGATGGAGATGTTGATGGAGATGCTGACAAAGTTGATGGACCAAACTGAAAGGTAGGCCACATCCAGCATTTGATGCATGGGTTGAGATGTACTATCTAAGATGCATCTATAGTTTATTAGTTTGGTTGTTGAATGTTGACACTGTCGCAAGAAAAGCAACACCTAAATCCCGCTAATTCTAAAAACACAGGACACATAAGAATGAAATGAAACTCATCCTAGACATCTCCAAGATCACATAAAGTACACAATCTCTGGTTTCGAGGCACTGCATTATATCTACCTGTCTAGATATTAAGGTTATGTGCTTGCAATCTATATTTCGCAAGAATACATTTTTTTTTCTTCTAAATAGCGGTTTTGTAAAATACCATCATAGCATCCATGGTTGTTCAACTGGAAATCCTTTGCCCACTTTCAAGGTCACAGGGGTCAGTGGTGTAAAATTCTTTGAATAAGTGAATATTTAGTCTGTAGCATGGTGTGCTATCAAGTCTGTTTAGATGAGTTACACATGTACATGTACCTTGATTTAATTTCAAGGTCTTGGGTCAGATGTTTTAAAAGATTGAAGAAATATTTTTAATGACCCAAGAAATTAAAAAGAAAGTATAAAAATCCCCCCATACATGTAAAAATTCCTTGATTTGTTTCTTGAATCTTGTATAAATTAGAATTTAACTTATGTGCAATATCTCCTATGTGACATACATCTTGATTATCAGTAAAATAAGTTAAAAACAGTAAAAGTTTTCAGGTGGCAAAAACTGATGTAAACAAGAAAAGAGAAGAATATATTTATTCCATATGCATTACAGGATATAGATTTCGACATTACGGAAATCGATGACGTCTTGATGGGCACAGATGTTGCAATAAAAATAAAGGTAAAGAACATCGCTGAATCTAAGGAGACACGTACTGTCAATCTTGAAGCGTCTGTCAGCGCTGTAAAATACAATGCCCCTGCTGACCCCAAGAACTTCATCAAGAGGGAGAAATTCCCAGGCTTTTCTCTGGCAGCTGGCGAAGGTAACTTTTAAATTTTGAGGATCCCTATTCCACTGCTCTGTAGTAAAATTTATTCGCCAATCTCGACAGGTTGTGTTATGGTATACCCTCCGTCCGTATGTCCGTCCCTAAACTTTTCAGTGATCTGCTCAATATCATTCCTCATGAGTTGGGGGAGGTACATTATTACCTTCAGAACATGCATCTCTAATATAAATTTTATCAAACCTGAAATTTATTAAACCTCATTGGTTACTGGTCTTGTGAATACACTTTAAAGAAGTACAATTTGCACATTATCTAATAAAACCCCCACAAATAAACAATTGCAGTCTTTTCAATCATGTACTCTATACATACTCTTTTTCATATATACAGTTACCTCCCCTTAATTTCATTGATGTGCTTTGTAGCACAGTTGAGCGAGGACGCTTCCGTTAACGAACATTATAGCTCAGTTGGTGAGGGAGACAGTATAACAAACACTTTTAAATTCAGAACACTGCTGTTGATGATATTTGTTTGTTCGGCGGTTATTATATTTCATAAAACTCCTGTATGATGCAGAGGATATCTAACAGTTTCTTCAGGAATGCCAAATGTATTTCATTAGTGTGGCTGATATTTTTATATCTTTCACGAGTGCACAGCTAGCACATAGATAACATTTTACATTGTTCTGCAAAGTTTTTAATACCAGCTTAAGTATCATCGAAGTCCTCAGCTTCTGGGTCAGTTATATTTCATTTTAAAAGTGTTCAGAATAAACCTGTTACGTTGTAATTGTCAATTTTGAACAAAGTACACATGAGTACGACTTCTGATGATCAATGTTGTTATTAATTGATTGCAAAGTAAAATACAAGAATCCCAGAGGGCCTGTATCGCTCACCTGGATAAAAAAAAAAAAACATAGGAAATTAACCCTTCATTTATACAAAATTTAGTCCCCTTTGCCCCTTAGGCTGCTCCAGGCTAAATTGGGATTAAATCCCTGAATCCCTATATAGTAGAAGAAGGGTTTCAAAAGATTTTACCTCTATTTCCCCTATTCCGCCCCATCCCTCTGCTCCCAGGGGATCCAAACCCACTGTTTATACAAAACTGAGTCCCCTTGGCCAAAGCATACATGTTCCAGACAAAATTGGGATGAAATCCCTTAAGGTCATTGGAGTGTATTGATAAACGGAAACAGGAAGTACATCCCTAGTTGAAAATCCAATGTAGGGAGACAGTATCACAATTTCTGCAAATCCTAATGTTTAATATTAAACTGATGAATATTGTATGTTTATTATTGACAGAACAGTGTGTTCTCTCAATATTAAAGTATCTCAAAGCAATCCAGGCATTAATTCAGTTTTTTTTATCAATGAGTCACATGTGTCCATTTTTCTGTACCTCAGGAAACCGGCTAACTATTTCACTACTGTGAAGTTTTTCAAGAACGATAACTCTTACCTGCAATTACTATGTGCATATGGTTTTATTATAAAATGTCAATTTTTATATCGTGTATAGAGAATTAGTTTTTACACAATTTCAGCATTTATTAAATTGATTTACATTAATGCAATCCTAATATATATATATGTCAGTATCATTTTTATTGACATTATTTTGTAAAAATATTGTCTTTAATTTTTTTTTCAAAATTCACTCCTTATTACATAAATTTCCATTTAAAATCCTTAAAATTCTGACAACCTTTATTTTTTTGTGGCAGAAAATTTTCTTTACTTTAAAGCAATATAACTACAAAATTTGAAGAAATTCTACTGAGAAATGGTGACACAATCCTATTACCTTAATCCCTACGGTTGAAGAAGGATTTTAAAGGTTTACCTCTATTTCCCCTATTGGGCCCCTCCCCTCTGCCTCAGGGGGTGCAAACCCACCATTTCTACAAAATTGCTTCCCCTTAGCCCAAGGATTCTCCATATCAAATTAGGATAAAATCCCTTTATCCCTACCGTAGAAGAAGGATTTTAAAGTTTTACCTCTATTTCCCCGATTCGGCCCCACCACTCTGCCCTCCAGGGGAGCCACATGCACCGTTTATACAAAATTAAGTCCCCTAGGCCCAAGGAAGCTCCAGACTAAATTAGGATAAAATCACTTAATACCTATGGTAGGAGAAGGATTTTAAAGGTTTTTACCTCCATTTCCCCTATTGGGCCCTACAACTCTGCCCACAGGGGTCCAACCCCACCGTTTATAAAAAATGCAGCCCTCTTGGCCCAAGGATGCTCCAAACAAAAATGGGATGAAATCCCTTAATCCCTATAGTAGAAGGAGGATTTTAAAGGAATATCTCTATTGGGCCCTGCTCCTCTGTCCCCAGAGGGGCCACACCCGTTTATACAAAATTGAGTCCATTTAGCCTAAGGATGCTCCAGACCAAATTCAGTCAAAATCTACTGGGCGGTTCAGCACAAGTAATGTTTTAAAGGAAAAGTTTAAGGACGGACGGCGGACGATGCACCATGGCATAAGCTCACCTGCCCGAAGATAACTTTATTCTGTATGACAAAAACAATGTGAAAAATGTGAAACACAAAAAATCCAAATCAAGATTTCAACTATTTATACCACTTTTGCCAATTTTGAATGTGTAATTTTCTACTATTTGCATGGCCTGCATTCCTTTCTTATTGGCTATTGGTTTTTGTTTTTCAGAGAAAGTTTTAAAGTTTGTAGTCACCAATAAAGAATACGAACATAAGCTGTTAGAACAAGGAGGAATGGAGGTGAAAGCTTTTGGTATCGTCAAGGAGACCCGCAAAGCCGTCGTGGAGATCGAGGACTTCCGTGTAAGGCGACCTGATGTTGCTGTGAAAGTAAGGAAATAATCTTGCGAAATACATATACTGTAAAAGCATATATGTTTTTGGGGGATAAATTTCATTGTTTTTGTATGGGGACAATATTTTATATTTCGTGGAATCAATATTTTTTAACCCTGTACTTTTTTCTGGGAAGTAGGAAATTTAAATTGACAGGCGTGACGACACAGTGCAGGTAAAAATAGTTAGTACAGGTAAGATCAGCGAGATTTACTTACTCGAAGACTCACAATTGTACGTGTTACAAAGATAACTCTTGAATGACACGCTGTTGTTATAAGTGTTTATAAATAAATAATTACCTGTGTGACGATAATTACAGAGTTAATCATGACTTGTGTCTAAATGTAAATACACCATAGATTTGTAATAAAGTTAATAGTTTATTAAATAGTTTTATTCAGTTTATATTTTTTTGTTTAAAATTTCTTTGGGACTATATTTCGTGTTTTTTATAAAACCACGAAATAAACGAAATTAAATCCCAAACAAAATATTATGCTTTTACAGTAATTTAAAGGAAGTATCTATTTAACAATTTAGTTAGTGTGAGACAGGAAGCCAAATAAAGCGAACATTTTACTGCCCCATATATAGTGTGGTTTTTTTCTCCATACAGAATTGTCTCCTAGTACTTTATATTGGAAAATGTCCTCCCAGTCAATCTTTCATCCTATGCCTGGTAAAATCCCTATTCATTGAGTTTAATTTCACCTTTCAGTTTGAGAATTATGTTTGTTAGGTTGTTTACTAATGTTCTTTCTAAATATAAATCTTCAAAAGAACATTCAAAGGACTGTTTCTTTATTTTGAATACCTCCCCGGTACTATCATGTAAACATTTATTTGTGTTTTCAATTATGGCTGCCATGGTAATCAGTTAATATTTGCATAAATTGCTTGAGTAATGAAATCTGAATGTTCAGTCAATTTTGACCAGTTTTTACCCAAGTTTTCTCTTAGCTACCAACAAAATAGAGCACACTCTTGAACAAACTTTAAATTTCTCCTAAAGATGTATTACAGGTGCACACGCATTATCCTTTGATATAAAGTTTCTTCGAGCATGTGCTCTACATGCAGGTTCCAGGGAAAAAAATATGCAAAATATCACAATCACTAAATATTTCGAATTAATGCAAATTTGAACTTATTACCTTGGCAACAATTAGAAATACAAATTCATATTTTCATGATAGTATTTGGGAAGTATTCAAAATAAAAAGAACAATCGTTGGAAAGTTCATTTAAAGGTTTTGAATTTTGATGCATTTGGGGGGCCAAAATAAGCCCAAACCATACATAGTCCTTTACTTATTTCGTCCTTAAATGACTTCAGAAATTGATATTGAACCAACCCTTAAAATAAAATTGATGTAAACAGTGTCTTATTAATGTGTTAATTGATGCTTTTTAAACCACTGATTGGTCAACTATTTCTATTGATTGATTGATTTTTTTTGATTTTTTTTTTTTGTTTTGAGAAATTCCAGGACAAATAAAAGATATGATTTACTTGGAACTATCACTAAGTGTTTACAAGATTTTATTTTCATTGTTTAATAATCTTTAAAATCTGAGAGGGTAAATGCAATCTCCAACTAATGAAGTGAAGATATCTTGATATTGTCATCCTTGAATTTTGAAGATAATCAATGTCTTATTTGATTAAATGAAAATAAATGAAATGTTCACACACAAAATTGAAGCTTATATATATCCTATCACATTAACTCATTTATGTTTCAGATGGGCCCAGAAGAGGCCGAATTGAATAGTAAGGTTACAATTAAAATGAGTCTGAAGAACCCATTGTCTGTTCCATTGACCAACTGCTCATACTCAATCGACTCGGAAGCACTTGGCGATGAGGAAACGAAAACTGAGTAAGTTTTGGTGGGAGCCACAGACATGTATTCTATAGGTTGAGTTTGATTTAGTTGTATTTGAAGCTTAACTAGAGTTCACAAAATATGCTCATGCAAGTTCATCTTTAATTTGAAACCAACAATGATGTTTATTGTGTTCATTTGAACATCTTTAATTTGAAACCAATGATGTCTATTTTGTTTTCGGTAATGTTGCTGCCAAAAATTTACTTTCTAACATACAGTACATTTTTTATAAGCTTAAGGGTTATTATCCCCCCTTTGAAGACATTGCATTATAGCCATTTACCCATTAAAGCACATTTAACTTGCATGGCATATGATCTTTTCATATTGAGATGAAACTCCTTAACTGCTATATGTTTAGAATCTTGAACAGGAGTTAGTTAGTAGAAGTTAAGATTAATGGTAATTTATTTGTTTGAGGAATCTTAACAAGTTTGACATTGTGACCTTGGTTGCGAGTTGATATATATATTCGAACAAAATGGTTAAGTCTCCAAAAGCAAAACAATGCATGCCTCCATAGACAGAGTATATGGTTTCTGAAGAAGAAGACTTTATTGAAGGGTTTAAACATATTCATATACATATTCATATACCAGTGACTTGGTCATTGGTCAGATTAATATAATTCAAACAATGCTACGTAGCCCTTTACTCAAGCAATAGGCCAAATAACGTGATGCCTCAAGGTTTAAATATGTTTATCCCTGTGACCTTAGGTGGGTCAAGGATATTAATATTTGAACAAAGGTGAAAGCCTCTCAACATACCAAGCTACATAACATGTAATTGACACTAGGCCTTATGTTTTGTTAGGATGTATTTAGATTACAATACATTTGCTTCATGTGATTAATGAATGTAGGTCGGGGTCATTTATTTCCACAATATTAACTAGTATATAGACATTAATTTGCCTCTTCAAGCAATAGATCAAACATGATTTTTTTGCTTCATGGTTTGTTGAAAAAAGTAACTTTAAAAGGTTTTAACAGAATTTGAATATTAGGGTCAAGGTCATTTGTTTGAAAAGGATTGATAGCCATTTACCACAAGAAACTAAAAAAATGCCATTTGTAGTGACCTCATTAGGTATTTTGGCTTTTAAAAAGGGGCTCTTTTAAAGAAAACACCGACATATATGGATAATGATATATTTTCTTTATTTCTACAGCGATGTGCCTGCAAAAGGGGAATGGAATGTTACGTTGGAGAAGACGGTTTGGGAATGTCCATTGTTTTCATTTGAGTGCATACATGTTGGTTTCGACTGCAAGGAACTACCTAACATAACTGGTATCAGCAACACAATCAGGATCTTCTAATGAGAACTACACTCATCCTAGATGTTTGTTTTACATATATTTACAAAACAAACAATATTTTTTGTTGTCAACACTTGTGCAAAGCTTCTTACTTGATGATGTGGATTTCCTATATTCCTTTAATTATTATGACCAAAATAAAAGGGCAACAATGAAATGACCTAGGCATACTGTCATTTAAATGAGCAGAAAAAAATCAATGCAATATATAGTGTAAATGCAGGAAATCTATTGAAAATCTGGGAACGTTTTTGAAATATTTTCAATCATAAATGTGAAAAAATGCACTTTTTTGTTACTGTATCGAAGGAATCGGATAATTCAGTGACTTGGTTTCCGTGCAAATATAATGACATCCATACATGATGTACTTATAGAAAGTAACTAAGAATATATATCAAAAAAACATCTGTGGAAAGACTTAATGAAAACTATGTATATAATGTTCACTTTATTAGTGCTATTCCTGGGTTTTAATGCTCCCGTCATTTTATAGAAGGGCATATTCCGTCTTTGCATATTGCAGAGTTATCTGCATTTGTGAGCAGGTATTGATTGTTACGTCATTTGTTTGTGAGAGTAACGTCATCAATTTTTGAGAAAACGACGTAATTTTCTGACACAAACCAATGACGTAACAATCAATCCCTGCTCCCAAGAGAAGATAACTCTGCAATACGCAAAGACGGAATACTGTGTTACTCTTTTGATGTTATTCGACCCCTCTCATTTTGTTCGGTATCAATTTCAGCGTCATCAGTCTAGCTACTACATTTCTTTAATGACTATTTATGCAAAGGTCAAGAATACCTCAAATGAGTTCGTATTTGAGAAGTCTTTCACTAAATTGCATAGAAGTGTCTTTCGGACACATTTTCTAGTATAATATGATTTCATCATCAGACACTGGTCTTTTAATTTTCTTTTCTTGTATTGAAAGAAATAGTTAGAAATTCAGTTACTGGTGATTTGCTTTTATATACATTTGGAATTTATGATATATTTTCATACCAAAAAATGAAGACATGAAGTGCGCCTGCCTTTGGTTTGCATTAATTAACACAACACACTGTTATTCTTGATTTTTTCATGTATATTATATATAATCAATGGTTCACCGCTTCAAGTTACATTAACACTAATTTGTACATCTGTCAAACAGCATATCAGATTATTTACCAATGATGAAATTTTCAGTAATTTGAACAGAACTTCTGAATTTGGATTCCCCTTTTTTTTATTTCTTTTTATATTTTATTTTAGTTTGTTATTTTTCATTATGTGATAAGTTCACATCAAATTCTTTCATCATTATCCTGCAAATACAGCAATTATTATGTTCTTGCTAACATAACCGATATATGGAATGATCCTATTTAGCGATAGTGTAAACATTGATATATATGCTTTAACTGTATAGATGGAATGATCCTATGTAGCGATAGTGTAAACATTGATATATGTTTTAACTGTATAGATGGAATGATCCTATTTAGCGATAGTGTAAACATTGATATATGTTTTAACTGTATAGATGGAATGATCCTATTTAGCGATAGTGTAAACATTGATATATGTTTTAACTGTATAGATGGAATGATCCTATTTAGCGATAGTGTAAACATTGATATATGTTTTAACTGTATAGATGGAATGATCCTATTTAGCGATAGTGTAAACATTGATATATGTTTTAACTGTATAGATGGAATGATCCTATCTAGCGATAGTGTAAACATTGATATATATGTTTTAACTGTATAGATGGAATGTCTATGGTTGAATTATTCACAAATATAAAAAAAAACATTTGGGCAACAAATTAGTTGCCAACTTTGCTGAATACTAATTTTATAGTAATTAGGACATAATTATCAAAGTCACTGCTACAGGTAATGGATTTTGTAGGATTTTTTTTCAAGCAAGTCAAGAACCTCTTTATCAAAATTTTGATTCATATATAAGTGCCACAAGTGATTTAGTGAAATCTCAAAAAGTCTCACAGGAAGAGTACGATTTGGGGACTCTAGTTATTGTGTCCCAAAAAACACATCCAATGATTTGGTCGTAATGTGCAGCTTTTTTTTTCTTTTGAATGAACTTGCTTATTGAAATACTATCTCAACTGTACTGTAACAGTAAACATTTTCATATCATCTTCTTAATTTTGTTAATAGAATCTCAAACCTCGTATTCTATTTATCAGGTCCACCAAAGAACAGGATTTCATCAAATTTTTGTGTGCTTTTTTTATTTTCCTCACACTGTTAAAAATTATTATGAAGTCTGCTATTGTACTGAAGTAGTTTTGTTTTGACATTTTACGAATTTGTGCCTTTGGTTTATTCCCTATGATATGTTATACTGGATCCCCCATTTTTGTACCTTGAGGTGCTAAATGTGACAAAGAGTTCATACATATTCGATTAGTGTTTCTGTGGGAAGTCTTTTACCAAGTCAATTCTAAATCATACCAGAGAATTTAAAATATCACATCTGTAAGCTCCAATGATATTGGATACGTAGCATTACATCGGGACGTCTTTGGTACGTCCATTCATTTAAACCAATGTATTAAGTCGTGGGTAATGTCTCTTTTATATTTACGCTCATCCTGTGTGTTTTTTTTTATTAATTTCTCACTTTTTCTTTTTTAGTCTCTCACTTTTTTTTATATTTTATGAAGAGAAAAGTCCCATTATACTCTTTACATTCAAATTCTTGAAATTTTACAAAATGTTTACAATTTTACATTTATATGTAAGTGCACTGTAGAGTGGAGTCTTGTTATTCTCACGTCTAATTTGACGAAAAAAGTAATGTTTATCAAATTAATGTTTCAGATTTATTAAATAGATATCATAATATCAATCTATTTCCAAGAGCATCCAGAATGCAACTTTTCCATATGTTAAGGATTATGCAAATCTAAATCAACAAATTCCACTGCTTATACACAGTATATATATATACGCAACTTTGTTATTCTACACAGGTTATTGTAGTGAAATGAAATGCTTTAACATTCAATTTCAGAATGTGCCATAATAGACATATATTTTTTTCTATGTATTATACTCCTATATATAATAGTATACACTAATATTACTCAGAGACCTTCAGAGATTTATAGAGAAATTCTCTTCTCTTTAATTTTTTTATTAGCGTTTCAAAAAATAAAATCTGGTTTTATGTTTAGTTTGTGTTTACTTGTATTTTAAATGTGATATCAAGACTTATTCTCAAAATCAAATCAATTCTAGTTCTAAAAAAAATACCTGCTACGAAGTACCAGGGTGAGCTGAAGAATTGGTATGAAAGGCCTGTCCTCCCGGGGGCTCTCTTCTGAAAATTTAACTGGACAGATTTAACTGGATCTCCAACTTGATATCCACATCAGAGCAATTCAAGGCTCCTTGGGCCTCTTGTTCTATCACAATAATATCTTAAAAGGAATTTACAATCTCTTAATTTTTTTAATTTAAACTTCACTTACATCATGTAGATCTATATTAGTATGAACAAAACTATTTTAATACAACAAAAAGTTATAGCCTTATAATTGTTGTATTTTTCCTGCAATAAGCCCAGGGGGCTAACACATAAACTCTGACTCAAAGTAGGGGGTTGGCTTATTGCAGGTCAGTGAAACATTGGTTTGCATTTCTACTGAAATGTATAGGACATGGGTGGGCTTATTACAAGGCATGGGCTTATTGCTGAATAAATACAGTATGTCTCAGAAAATCAGAAGCAATGGACAATAGGCATTTTAGAACTCAGATTACAGGTAATATGGGCTAATAATGGCATTATAAACAATTAGGTGATCAACTAATAAGTACCTTCTACCATTAAAACAAACACCGACAGGTCAGAAATGATGGTGCTATGTATTTTTGACAGTGTGTTCCCTGTTCTAATGAAAGTAAGTGGCCTTGACCAACGACCTTGGATTATGGAAACCAGGTAGTTCGGCATTATTTGTATTTGATATCCATCTAGCACAAGCACTATTTACTACCAAAATGACAGAAGCATGCAGGGCAATACACTGTACAATGTATATTTGACGGTGTTTCCCCCAAATTTTACATTTCTGGATTCTGAGCTACAGTGTGATATCAAGGAAAGAAAAGTGCAGACAGACAGCAGATGTATAGGTAGAGTCAGTGGCCTGGTGATTAAAACATTATCTCATTGATTTTAATATATATCAGTTTAGTTTTATAAAGCATATTAGTCAAACTAATGCATCAAATTTGAAGAGGTGAAATACAAGCACAAGAAAGTGTTTGTTAAAAAAAAAAAAAGTTTGCTCATTATAAGTCTCACTTTTGAGCATCAAGGCACTGGAATACAAACAAAAAATTAATGAAACTATCAACTTACTCATTTTCAATGATTTTATTGTCTGGGGTAATAGGAATCTTACAAAATTTCACACACTTCAAAATTTCAAATTATCTGTTGTCTTGAATGACGATGGTGCGCGATGGGTAACCATACAGTTCCACAAACAGGTATCTGTATTCATACTTCTGTCCAGGTGTCTGAAACAAGGAATGTCAATGAGCACCATCACTTATTTCTGTCTTTAATTTGTAGATGCTATCTTACATTTCATCTCTCTTATTTGTATTTAGAGTTACATTCCCTTAGAATATATGATAACTTTCTGTAATATGGTTTATGGCATAATTTTTATTAAGGAATAAGGATATTCTGATACCCTTCTTTTTGTATCCATAATATGTGCTTGATTTATCTTCTTTAAGAAAGGATGCCATTTACATTAGCTATCTTTCTTCTTAAGGGTGTATACTACATAACATTTTGTCTGTACTTTCTGTTAAGAGTTATCTCCCTTAATGAGAAATGCTACCTTCAATTCTGTTTCAATTATATAATTAATTGCATTATCAATCTTCTTTAATGACATATGCTACCAAACATTCTTGTTACGGTAATGTGTTAGAGTTATCTCCCTTGATGATAGATGCTACCTTTCATGTTATTCCTAGGATAGATCAAAGGCCTATGGCCACTATTATATCATACTTCTATGAATTTATGAGTCATTCATGCTGTATCATCCAATTCCTACATTTACAAGACACACATCTCTAGAGGAACACTCATGTAGAACACATCTGTCCTACATAACTAGGTGACCTCTTGTTCTGGAACTCATTTTAAAAATCATGACAAGGTTATGCACAGATATAAACATGGCAAAGAGGGGTAGTTTTTTAAAAAAAAATCTTTAGGTGGCTGAATGACATTTTCTGGCCCTGTCATGCCTAATTTCTGCATTGAAACTTGACCTAGGGTACATTTTACACAGGGGTCACATTTCCACAGTACAAAACCACCATGATTTCGTCAAATTTGTTATTCTGTGTACAACATATTATAATCAAGTACATATTTGCACTGTATTCAAGCATACCACAGTATACCAAACCTTACCTTTTGTACTGCTAGATGAACTTTGCCCTTCCTGAGATGTCCCTCAACGTAAAACACCATTTTCATATGCTGCATTCCATCTTGTTCAAATTCCACATGGCTGTAAGTGAAAGTTGGATTTGTGCATACAACATATCATTTGAAATTTGATTTTGAAAGTGTTAAATCATAGTCAGATATATAACAAGAGGCCCAGAGGACCTGTATCACTCACATGGAAAATAAAGTAACCATGGACAATTATTCTTATTACATATAACAACTACATGTATTTCCAAATATTGGTACGCCTCTCAGCAACACCTGTCCCTCATGAGGTCCCTTCTTTAATTTCTGCCCCTATGAATTGGGAAGGATTGTAAACATTTATCTTAAGTTCCCCCATTTGGTCAGCCCCTCTGCACCCTAAAAGCAATTAACCCACTATTTATACAAAATTGAGTCCCCTTTGCCCAAGGATGCTCTACACAAAATTGAATGGTTACAAACCTTTCAAAGAAACTGAAGGATAAGGATTTTAAACATTTATTACTATTTTTTCCCTACTAGACCATTCCCCATTGCTCCTAGGATAACCACACCCTCTGTTGATCTGGACCAAATTTGGTTAAAATGTCTTTAATGAATCCTATTGAAGGTCAGAAGGATTTTAAAGATTTACCTGAATCTCCCCTATTGGGCACCCCTTCTGCCCCAAAGTGGGCCACACCCTCCATTTATACAAACTTTAGTCCCCTTTGCCCAAGGATGCTCTAGACCAAATTTGGTAAAATCCCTCCAATGGTACAGAAGGACAATAATTTTTAAGATTTAAACTTCAATTTCCCCTATTGGGCCCCGCGACACTGCACCCAACAGGGCCACACCCTCCCTCCATTTATACAAAATTTAGTCCTCTTTGTCCAAAGATGCTCCACGCCAAATTTGGATGAAATCCCTCCAATGGTACAGAAGGAGAAGAATTTTGAGTACCGAGGTAGAAGGATTTAAAAGACTTTAACCTTGATTTCCACCTTGATTACCCCTTTTGGGCCCCGCCCCTCTGCACCCAGAGGGCCCACACCCTCCATTTACACAACATTAAGTCCCCTTTGCCCAAGGATGCCCCAGGCCAAATTTAGATAAAATCCATCCAATGGTACAGAAGAAAAGAGGATTTTAAAAATTTAAACCTCAATTTTCACTATTTGGCCCTGCCCCTCTAAACCCAGAGAGGTCACACTCTCCGTTTATACAAAATTTAGTCCCCTATGCCCAAAGATGCTTTGCGCCAATTTTGGATGAAATCCCTCCAATGGTACAGAAGAAGAAGGATTTTGAAGGTTAAAACATTGATTTCCCCTAATGGGCCCTGACCCTTTGCACCTAGAGGGACCACACCCCCTTTTTATACAAAATTCAATCCTCTTTGCCCAAGGATTCTGCAATTTCCACTATTGGGCCCCGCAACACTGCACCCAGCGGGGCCACACCCTCACTCCATTTATACAAAAGTTAGTCCTCTTTGTCCAAAGATGCTCCACGCCAAATTTGGATGAAATCCTGGGATCCAATGGTACAGAAGAAAAAGGATTTTGAACATTTAAACCTTAATTTCCCCTATTGCCCCCCCGACACTGCAGCCAGAGGGCCCACACCCTCCATTTACACAAAATTAAGTCCCCTTTGCCCAAGGATGCCCCAGGCCAAATTTAGATAAAATCCATTCAATGGTACAGAAGAAAAGAGGATTTTAAAAATTTAAACCTCAATTTTCACTATTTGGCCCCACCCCTCTAAACCCAGAGAGGTCACACCCTCCATTTATACAAAATTTAGTCCCCTATGCCTAAAGATGCCCCAGGCCAAATTTAGATTAAATCCCTCCAATGGTACAGAAGAAAAGGGATTTAAAAAATTTAAACCTCAATTTTCACTATTTGGCCCTGCCCCTCTAAACCCAGAGAGGTCACACTCTCCGTTTATACAAAATTTAGTCCCCTATGCCCAAAGATGCTCCGCGCCAATTTTGGATGAAATCCCTCCAATGGTACAGCAGGAGAAGAATTTTGAAGATTTAAACCTCAATTTCCCATAATTAGCCCTGTGACACTGCACCAAGTTAGGTCACACCCTCTTTTTTTAGTCCCCTTTATCCAAGGATGCTTCAAGCCCAATTTCAGTGAAATCCTTCCAAGCTAAATTTGGATAAAATCCCTCCAAGCTAAATTTGGATGAAATCCCTCCAATGGTACAGAAGAAGAAGGATTTTGAAGGTTAAAACATTGATTTCCCCTAATGGGCCCTGACCCTTTGCACCTAGAGGGACCACACCCACTGTTTATACAAAATTCAATCCTCTTTGCCCAAGGATTCTGCAGGCCAAATTTGGATAAAATCCCTCCAGTGGTACCGAGGTAGAAGGATTTAAAAGACTTTAACCTTGATTTCCACCTTGATTACCCCTTTTGGGCCCCGCCCCTCTGCACCCAGAGGGCCCACACCCTCCATTTACATAAAATTAAGTCCCCTTTGCCCAAGGATGCCCCAGGCCAAATTTAGATAAAATCCCTCCAATGGTACAGAAGAAAAGGGATTTTAAAGATTTAAACCTCAATTTTCACTATTTGGCCCCGCCCCTCTAAACCCAGAGAGATCACACCCTCTGTTTATACAAAATTTAATCCCCTATGCCCAAAAATGCCCCAGACCAAATTTAGATTAAATCCCTCCAATGGTACGGAAGAAAAGAGATTTTAAAAATTTAAACCTCAATTTTCACTATTTGGCCCTGCCCCTCTAAACCCAGAAAGGTCACACCCTCTGTTTATACAAAATTTAGTCCCCTATGCTCCACACCAATTTTGGATGAAATCCCGCCAATGTTACAGAAGGAGAAAGATTTTGAAGATTTAAACCTCAATTTCTACTATTGGGCCCCACAACACTGCACCCAGCGGGGCCACACCCTCACTCCATTTATACAAAAGTTAGTCCTCTTTGTCCAAAGATGGTCCACGCCAAATTTGGATGAAATCCTGGGATCCAATGGTACAGAAGGAAAAGGATTTTGAACATTTAAACCTTAATTTCCCCTATTGCCCCCCCCCCCCTCCCGACACTGCACCCAGAGGGGCCACACCCTCTGTTTATACAAAATGTAATCCCCTTTGCCCAAAGATTCCGAGGCCAAATTTGGATAAATTCCCTTCAAATTTTGTCAAAATCTATAACGCTGTTTATGACAAGTAGCATTTTAAAGGAAAAATTGATGGACCACGGAGGGAAGACGGACGCTGCAGTATGGCATAAGCTCACCACCACCAGGTGAGCTAAAGAGGAGTTACCCAGTTGACAATATAACAGCACAGCAGGGACTGGGTGGTCTCATGCATTACATAAGTAAGAAGTGGATAGGTAAGTTATAAGATCTGAATGACTCGATCATGCAGTTCTGTGGTATCAAATGTACCTACCTCGTATGTCTTCGTCTGCCTCTCCTTGTTTCTTCTCCGTAGCATTTCACAGGTTCTCCCAGTACATCCATCAACTATACACAATGGAAAAACACCAGTGACAATAGGTACTGTATATTCAGTATATATACAATGTAAGTATGATTCCATAAAATGTAAACTTTATTTCGCAACAAGTATGAAACAATTTTCCAACATATAAATCACTATTGATGGCCTGGTGGAAGCATGCAGAATGTCTTAAATATCCCATGCAGCTACTTTGTCATATTTGTGGAGAAAAATACAACTTTACACAGTATATGTGCTGAATTTGTGTTTTTGAGATTGTAGATCTGTAGATCTACTTAACTCAAAGTAGGCCACAACATGTTATCATGAAATACTGTATTAACTTAACAGCATAAATTGCAAAACCATTGGCATAAATATGAAGATATCACTGGTGTACAGTAAACACTTTTGATGAAATACATGTATTTATACATTTTACAATTATTTACCAATTTCCAAATTCAAGAAAATGACAGGGGAAATCTCTGTTACCAGCATTGCCAATGAAAATAACAAAACCCCATTAAAAGGACTTATTTATAAAATAGCTGTACTTCTGCTAACAAGCCATTCTGTCGCGCCTGTGCCCCGCTTTGACCATCAATGCACTAAACTAAATTAAATAAACACAACAACTTGATGTTGATGGAGATGCTGACAAAGTCAATGGACCATGAAAGGAAGGCCACACCCAGCATTTGATGCATGAGTTGAGATGTACTACCTAAAAGATACATCTATGTTCCAAGTTTGGTTGGTCTAGCAATTATATTTTCAGAGCCTGCTGTCTTTGTTGTAGTATACGATGGCGCTTGTCAGTGGGGGCCGGCTTTTATTCTCGGCTAAGTATATGGTGGGTATCATTGGCCAAGTCATCGTGGAGTCACAAGCGAGGTTCCGCACAAGCAAGTTACAAAAATATTTGTTAAGCTGAGCTAGCCGGAATGCATGTTTTTTTGTAAGCGCTGCAGCTCTGAATGAGATTGTGTATTGGTTGGAGAACCTGGAGGACCAGAACAGTAAGGGTTCTAGATTGACAGACAATGTCACATGTTCAGCTGTGGTCTGTACAGATGCTTCAGCGTCTGGGTATGGAGGTTTCGTGGGCAGTGCTGGTACTCTGTGGGGTAGAGATGATATAGCTGAGGTATGTGCACAGTGTAAAGTGTTCCCATGTATGGGTCACCTGTAAGGGGTAGTACGTTCAGATAAGATGCACACATACGGTTGTAAAGGATCCCTGGGGGCGTGACACCCTTTGGATGGTGCTAGAAGCAAGACATATACAGGAAGTATTTTATCCCCAGGTGTGGGACCCCCTTTGGAGGGGGCTGGAGATGAGACATGTACGAAATGTCGCGATGGCTCGCTGGGAGCGAGGTGCTCTTCAGAGGGGTCCTAATCTATGGAGGTAAGTCCAGACACGTTCCCGGAGGAAGGGGATGGCAAAGTTTCTCAATGCCAAGGAGATTATCCCCAGGTGAAGGTCAGACTTCAGATGAGTGGTAGCTTCACAGGGGTTAAGACCGGAGCGTTTATCTCATCAGAGTCTATTAACTGTGCCACACAGGGTAGGTTGGTGAATCTTCCCAGTGTAGACAATTTGTATGAAAAGGGTTGTCAAGTGGTGAATGGCACGTTGGACCAACATGAAAGTTCCAACAGTTCTTCATGGAGGGAGATGGAGGCTGTTAGAGGGGTATTGTATACAGCAAAAGACAGATCAAAGGTGAGAAAGTTAAGATATTGACGGACAGTAAAAATACATGTTCCATCATAAACGTAGGTAGTGGAAAGTCAGAATTGCAGAACATTGCTTGTAATTTACACGATTTTTGTCAGGAACACGAGGTACATGTACAAGTTTATTCGCAATGGCTCCCTAGGGGTCATATTACGATGGCTGATTTTCTGAGTAGATGTACCGATTGTGACGATTGGCAGGTACAGCATTGGGTATTCGAGAAATGTGAGAGCATGTTGGGCCCTCATCAGGAAGACCGATTCGCTACCGATTTTAATCGTAAATGTCGTTGTTTAATTCTAGATGGTGGTGTAAGAACACCGAGCCGTTGATGCGTTCACAGTATCCTCGGCGGGGGTGAACAACTGGTTGGTGCCCCCTCCTCGTTTGGTTTGTAAAACAGTAAATAAACTTAGAGATGATGAAACTAGTGGAAAATTGATTATTCCACAATGGAGATCGGCAGCTTTTTGGCCACTGTTATTTACTGAGAGTGATATAGCCAGAGTTGCCAAACACAAATGTTACTTGGGCAGGCAGAGGAAATAACTGATGTTTCTCAGATAAACCGTATATTTGAGGCAGTGACTGTGTTGTGTGATATTTGTTTTTTCACAGGTTAAAAGATACCCTGGACAGTGAGCTACGGGCCGCTGGTGTGACTTAAGATTCATCACTTTACAAGATGGCCGACGGGTTTGCAGAGGGACTTTATTAAGTAAGAGTGACAATACAAACAAAAAGTACTTTTAAGTGTTGGGAAGCATTTATTTCTTCTCATGGGCATTCAGCTTTGCCAGCAAATGGTATTCACGTTGCTTTGTACATTAATCATCTACTCCAGAACCATTCTTTGTATGCCGTATGTCGGCTTCTGTATTCGATCAAGTGGACTCGCAGGTTACATGGACATGATGACCCTACTTTGAAGAGATTCGTTGTGAGTTTAGCGAAGCGCACGGGACTTAAACCAACATTTAAGAAGGAGCCAGTGACTAGTGACATGTGTGACAAGTTCACTGATTCAAGAGACCTCTTAGTTGTAAGAGATTTGTCTATGTGTTTGTTGGGGTTTGCAGGTTTTTTTTGCGTTTTAATGAGTTAAGCAATTTGCGTTGTAACGATGTTAAGGTTTTCTCAGAGCATTTTTCATGGCAGGCCAGGAAAAGTAAGACTGATCAGTATCGATTTGGGAAGAGATTGTCATCAGTAAGGGTCATTCATCGGCGTGTCCCTATGTAATGTTGAAGAAGTACATTAGTTTAGGAGAGATTGATTTAGATTCTGATTTTTTATTTAAGCAGGTTTACCTCTAGTCAGAATTATTCTGACGTTTTATCGACTTTTTTTTATATCGGTCTGTCGTTCATTAACGTCAGAACTCCGGCCCTCTTTAATATGCTGGAAATAAGCGACCCGCGCCTGGGTCGCTCTTCAAACTGATATTTTAGAAACAAATCGTCACTTTCACACTCATGTCGCACATGGATCGAAAGATCTATTCTTTATGCACAAGATGGACATACATAATATGCCTCAAACAACCAATACAATCACCAAAAACATAATTTTTCAAACTTATTGTTTTACTTTACGTTTTTGATAGCCCCGCCTTCTAATGCCACATGACTAAAATCTCGTCATAACGTTGGGAAATATCTTCGGTAACACGAGATCTCGTCGTCATGTGACATGGCTCATGTCCTGTTTCTAAAATATCAGTTTAAAGAGCGACCCAGGCGCGGGTTGCTTATTTCCCGCATATTATAGAGGGCCAGGGTTCTGACATTAATCGACGACAGACCGATATAAAAAAAATCGATAAAACGTCAGAATTATTTGGACTAAAATGTAGTTTACCTTTTACCCGACAAGTGTTGAGTAATCAATAAGAATAAACCCGGGTGCAAGCGAGGCGATTCTGAAACGTTTGAAAGTTGAAAGCGGTGATGGTAATTTTGGTTTACATTCCCTGAGAGCGGGAGGGGCTACTGCGGCGGCTATTCATGACGTCAGCAACAGGTGCCTTAAGAGGCACGGACGGGGGAAGGTCGATAGTAGCAAAGACGGATATGTAGCGGACTCCCTGGAAAAAAGACTCTGTGTTACCAAGCTGTTAGGCTTGTAGGTTATTTTGGCCATTGGCATAGATTAATCTAAGTTTTTTTTATTTTCAATACAAGAAATAAAATGTTTATTATTTTGGAAAAGGTAATTACCTCTTTCCTTGTATTTCTCTATGGGCACATGGGCTAGTACTGCAAATGGATATTTGCCTTATTGTTGTGTTTGCGTAATAGCGGAGAGAAGACTCAAATAATCCTGCGGTTCTGAAAGAAAAGGCGGGATTTATTTGTCTATCAAATAGCCAGGTACACGTGGCTATAGAGTATAGTTGGGTCATTCTCTAGCCGTGTATCGTAGAATGCGGACAGATTTTCTCTTTGTTTCATTTTTCATTAGTAATGAAATATGCTAGAATGATGTCCATGAATAGGAAAATTATATATATTTGTATTTCGACGTGTTGCAGGTTTTTTTAGGAAAGCGTTTTTTCTATAAACTATAGTGCAGATCCAGGCTATGCCTAGACTATCCTGCAGGGGATATAATTTGTTTTTCCGCCAAGTTGGACACAGTTTTCTGGGGATTATCTCCGGTTTTTCTGGGAGGCAAGTTAAGTTGATTACAGCGAGCACAAGTATATTTTTTATAAAGTTCTGCAAATATAATTGTGTATTGAAGGTTTACTATGCATAATGCAACATGTACGTTAAATATTGGAACATGCAGGTTTGCAAATATATATTGTCATATTGTTTCATTTTGTAAAACATATTTAACACCTGGCACATGGGCTAGTACGGCAAAAGGATGTTGTGTTTGCATGCTAGTGTAGAGAAGGCCATAGTATACTCACCTCTGTATTCTGTTTACATAGCTCAAAAGCATTACTATAAATTCCTCTTGGACTTTGACTTGAAAACACTTCCTTCCCAATTATATAGAGCAGGGCACCTACAGAAAGTATAAGATATTTTTAATGAACAAAATTAAAATTAAAATGAACTGACTATTCAGTGTACGATATATTTTAAACAATAGGCCCAATGGGCCTGAATCGCTCAAATGGTATTAATCTCACACTTGTAATCTTAAAAGTGGACTAAAATCACAGCTACAGGCAGAATATCAGTGTTTGATTCATAAGAACCTATCAAAAGATTTAAACATATTACGGCTGTGACCTTGAATGTTGAACAAGGACATTAAGTTGAACAGAGTTATAGGCTTCCAACACAGCATGCTTTTGGCAAAATATTTTAAAGTGATTTAAAGATTTAAACATATAATGACCACTGTGACCTTGAATATGGGCGAAGATCATTTATTTTAACAAACTTGGTAGCCCGTCATCCTAGCATGCTACTTGCCAAATATCATAATCCTAGGCCTCTTAGTTATTCAGAAGGAGTTGTATAAAGTTTCTAAACATTTTCTTCAGGTTGGTAAGTATGGATTATGAGAAGTTCTTTTTACACAACCAATACAATTTTCTATGTGACGTTTCAATGACTAGTACGATATGTACACTGTCACCTTCATCAGACAAATGACCAAAGAAGCGTATACAAACAAAGGTGTAAAATGCGAGATATGAGGGGGTTCCAGTGGTGGTCCAAAATCGTGAATTGTCTCTTTTTGACAAACAACATGTTATTTTTCGAACATTTCTCCATAATTGTGATGTACTGTGTAACATTAAAGCTGCAAAATTTTTAAAAAAGCCTGAAAAAAGTAGCACATAGTTGATAAGTAGGTCACTGTGACCATGTTATATATCAGCTCCAGTTAATTAAACAATTCTTCCTTTTTATGCCTAAAAAAAAAAATTCAATATTATCTTACCAAATTGTATTTATAAGTATACTGTATGAACCGAATTTCAATAAATGGGGGTCAAAGTGAGCAGAGGAGGTGGGGGGATAATTGATTTTTTGGATTATTGGTGTTAGTCACATGTACTCACCTGTTACTCCAACTCCACAAAGAATTATTCCTCCCCAAAAAGATGTTTTGCCAGCTTCTTTGACTGAAAGATAGAATAGTAGTATCATTTCTACAGATGTTTATCATTCTTTTATTGCATATCTTTACCTTCGGCAGGCCAGTTTGATACATGCATGTACTAACACTAGTCCGCTAGTCCTGGACTAGTAGATTTAATCACCTTACCTAACTGGTCCTTTGAACTTGTAACAAAATAGTTATCACTATGATTCACTGAAAGTTATCACAATATCATTAGATAGAAAGATTATGAAATAAGAATATAATTTGGAAAATTGCTTAAATTACATATATCTTAATGGCAGTATAGTTCTTTGATGTCATCTACAGTCAATTACTGGGTACTTTCTAATGTTTCCTGCTGGAGTTAGAGATGTTTCCTTAGGAAATCTTTGACTATAGTTACATTGACATAGGACTAGAAAATACTCTGTTCAACTAGTTCCTGGAACTAGTAGAACAAAATAGCTGGTGTCTGAATTCTGCAGCTACTATATCAACCTACTTCATCTTTAGTTGACAGTTTTTTGTTACATGACAACAATGTCTACAGATAATTTGGCCACTTCAAATGCCTATCACACTAAAATATTAAAACCAGGGCCTGTATTCATGAAACCATTCTCATGCCTTAATTGATTCTGTGCTCAAACCAACTTTCTTGTTATTATCTTACAGCATATATGACACAGTAAAAATGTCAAGTGTAAATATTCAAAGTGGTTTATGACTAAGTGTGTCCAAAAATCTTCTAAACCATTGACAAAATGTTAGAATATTGGGCTTGAGCACAGAATGAGAGTTTGAGAATCATCAGAGAACTGTTTCAGGAAAACGGGCTAAAGACATAATAGAACAACATTGACCACTGGTCACATCATCTTGTTAACGGGTTAAATCAAAGATTCTTACGATGACACAATTAAAAGAAAAAGGCATGAAATATAGGAAAGATAGAAAATTAAAGACATAGGTCCAAACGTATTGCAATGAATGCAGCAGATGTCAATTATTTGTATTTCCCCTAAGCATAAGACACAGAGGAAACACCCAACGCTGTATGGTACCCAACATTATTATAATTAGCTGCCTCTTATGGTCGTTGGGACCTTTTCCACCATATTTTAAAATAGCTTTTTTATGTAATCATTGGAGATTAATATGTCAAGAAAAAATGTGATGACACAATACATCTCTGGCAGACACGTAGACAGACACACATAGGGCGATATTAGCAAGGTGGCAGAGGACTAGTAGTTAGCGCCTGATAAGGCAGATCCTGCAAATTCCTCAAAATTTTGTTGATTAATGTATATTGATTGTATAAATTGTATATAATATGTCTGTTCTGTAAATCGCTTGAGAGTGGCTTATTCTAGCTAGATTATATGGGCGCTATATCAAACGTTGTATACTAGACTATTATTATCAATGATATATTTCACCTTGTAAATCAAAATAGATCAATTGGGTCAAAGGCAAACAAAGGATATTTTTATGACGTATGCCTGTATACTGCATAGCCTAAATAAATCCACTTGTATTGTTTGTTTCTAGGGTTTAATGTCCTCCCAACATCTGAGGTCATTTAAGAAGTTCAGTACCTACTATCTAGGGACAATGTGACCACCAGAGAAGGTAGAAGAGAAACAAAAAAGATAGAGGTGACAGGCCCAAGGTGCTGCAATGGAGACAACAGATCAACTATGTCCCTTATACAGTAGAAACAGAAGAAAAATCCATTTCGGTATGGGGTCAACTAAACATCTCTTAAAATAACAAGCAATAGGATACAATAGTCTTTATATTGTTTCTCCAAACGTGCAAGAGATCGATGTCGGATGATGAAAACATAACAACATATCAGGCAATTGGTCAAGAAAATGCTTAACAGAGCTCATCTCCATGCCTAAGGCTACACAGGACTAAAATTGTACTTACAATACTAACGATCCTATAGTGCTCTAATCATCAAGATCTAGACCCATGGGCCTATAAAACTGTCACCTAAATCATAAAATGTAGAAACTTAAGAATCATACATGTACCGTACTCAAGAAGGGCAAGTGTCCACAAAAATGGGAGATAACCAGCTAAGGCTTACAAATGTAAGATAGCATTTCATTTAAGTTTGGTGTAAAACTACCAGAAACTACACACTACAGACATGATGTTGTTTGAAGGTTTTGCACTAAGGGACTCCCTAAGATCCCATCCGGGAACCGGAGCCAGCCCCATTTTTGATATAAATTCTTATTCATATCATCAACGCATGTTTTTAGGAATGCTAGGACCTGTTCGTTTATGTGAAACCGGTTTGTCCATTTTTAAATGGAACCATTTTGGGTATAAATCCTGTCGGATTTTACTCTTTATGGCCCTTCCCTGTTTGTTGGGTTGATCGGAAGTTTATTTTTGGGGTCTATATTCTGATACTCATCATCGAACTATAATTTCATGAAAGTTTGTTCTACCACAGACTTTGATAACTAATCTAATTCCGTGGTTCTACATACACTTTGTAATGCTACATTATATATGCACAAAGAAAGTGATTTCTTGTTATTTACCCTTTTCCTGAAATGTCAATTCGGAGAATGGACTCTCCCTCGCTACATCAATCTCGTTATTCTTCTTTGGCTTTGCATATCCTTTTGCAGATGTTGATATTAGACACTTCTGACACCATACTGACGTTAAGTGTTTCGGTGGTTTAGTATGTAACAGGGGTTGTCTACATATCACAAATGATACGATTTTCTGTGACCGACACAGTAAAGGGGCTTTCAGAAGACACTTTGAATTTGACAAGAAAGATTGCATTTTTTGTGTTTGCGTTACACTACAGTGAAAACGTTTGATCAATGCTGTCAGATTACTGTCATCACTAATGTTAATAAAAAATGTCCTCTTCTAGTGCTTAGGTTAACATAGAATAATCAATTTTTCTTATACGATGGTCCTGGTTACACGTTTTAACTAAACTAAAACATTAAGCACTGGCATAACACAACTGCAGTTGAAACGTTCACCGGTAAAAGTGAAAGGACATCGTGTCGTTGAGAGAAAGTCAGAGTTATTTCCCCTGACCTACTTCCGCCACTATAGTCATTATCTGAATAAAAAATAGTTTCATAAACACAAATATGAAATGGTCCATGTTGAAACTCATTTAAAAGGGAATCTTAATTTTCCTGATATTGTTTTTTGCTTAGACTAATTTATAAAACAGACTATATAGCTACAACATCTTCACATCCGGTTCCAAGATGGCGGACAGAATGGACCGGTTTGAAGCACTCGAACAACAACTGGAGATGTTTATTGAAAACACGCGCCAGCTTGGTATTGTAGTCAGTGATTTTCAGCCACAAGGACAGAGTAATATGAACCAAAAGATGTAAGCACACATGAATGATCGTTTGTTACAACGTGACTTCATATTGGAACGTTTTAGTGTCATAAATAGTGATCTCACAAATGAAACATTTAACATCTGCCAATTCCTTATATATATATATATATCTCTTATGGACAGTAGAGTACAGTACAACATTAAATTTTGCGACAGTACTTGTACCGTAAAATAACAACATTGAGCACTACTAAATATATACATGAGTTCAAATGATTAGAATTTTTACCGAAATTCCAGCCTTTAATCTAGGATAACCCAAAAAGCTAAAAGCTTATTTCCATTGGGGTCCTTTAAAAGAAACTAAAGTACAATTCTAAAATGTTATTTGATACATTTGTGCCCATCATTTGCTATTCCATTAAAACATGATGGTCAGTTTAAAAGTTCACATAATAATTTTCTTCTATTTGAATGTGAAAACATACAGTAAAATATTTGATAATCTATAACATAGAATCATATTAAAAGAGTATGCATATTCAATTTCTTGTTTTCTTTTCATAAGCTCCTGTAAATGACGGACCTTATATTTAAAAGTGAATTTATTATTTTCAATTTTGATGTTTTCAGGAAGTGAATTCCAATCTTTGGTACCAGAAAAATAAAAGGTTATAGATTCAGAACCTTTGACATTAGGAATAATAAAATAACATAGATTTGAGCGAGTACTATACGATAATGGATTCCTGTTAAAAAATTGATACATATATATATATATATTGAGGAGCTTTTCCATTGAAAATATTGAACATATGGTAAGTTTAAGTTGCCTTGCCATGGTATTGATATCCAGCATGTTTACACAACTAAAATCTTGGTATGACAAACAGTGTCTATTATGTACATTTAATATAAATCTTATCACCTTGTTTTTTGCCACTTGTAGATTTTTTTGACAGTCCTTCATACCAATTAACTAGCATTTGCATAGTCAAAGTGGCATAGAATAAACGCAGAGCACAAGGTCCTCTTGGATTCGAAAGACAAACAACTACTTGGAATCAACAATCTCTTCACCAGATAACAATTATTAATATATATACCAAGATATTTTACACATGATTTAACTGAAATATTATGATTATTACAGCTTACAGTAAAACTCTCTTCACCATAAACCTTTTTTTATTTTACGCTTTGGACCAAAAATAATACTCTCAGTTTTTCCAAGATGTAATGATAACTTGTTATTATCGACTAGCCAGTCATGACAAGATTCCAGAACTAATGATTGCCTATATTATGTTTAATGTCTTTTGTTATCAACCTAATGGTACAATCTTCTTTTAATAGCGTCTTTGTTTCGTTTTCCTTAAAAAAGTAAATTACATGAAAATAGCTCAAAAGACAGAAAGGTCAATAAAGCTATTATAGGTCTTTACAGCTATATAGCTCAATTGGCAGAGTGTGCCGGACCTGATAAAAAGACAATGAGGTACAATTAATTGTGCACAGCAATCTATCTATATGCTATACTCTACAGAGACCAAAATGGTTTTAATGTGGTGGGGGTTAAGTATGCATGCAATATTATGCTTCGGTTAATCCCAGTTGGTAAGGATTGATGCTTTAAATGCCTATTCCTTGCACCCTAGCTGTGATGTCGTCCAGGTGGTTCCAATCTGTGGCTGTTCACACAAAGAATGAGTTTCTGTATTGTTCTGTGTTGCTGTTGGGTATTATGACTGCTCTGTTATTGTTCCTGATTGAATTTTGAATTGGTCTTGATGTCTTGCAGGAATTTATGCTGTCTTAACAATAGGTTAATTCATTTGTCTAAATTTTTGTGAAAATTGTATCAACTCCATTGCTTATAGTGTGTTGTAGAGTAGCTATAAAAAGCACACAGACAAAGTCATGCTTACCTGTCACCTTTGCACTGGATGATCCCATTGACTACACACTGAAGTCAATGGAGATATGGTTTGTCCTTTTCACAAAAAGTTAGCCATCAGAAGTGATAAATTTTTGTGCACAAATTTACCTTTTTGTGTTATTCATTGGATTAAGATAAAAGAATAATGCCCTTTTTTCTCCAAGTGTTTAAAAGAACTTTTGTTTCACTTTATTCCCCATTTTAGTAATAAAATTGTTACTCATGCTGTTACCCAAATGCAGTATTATAACCCATTTTCGCTGTTGTGCCCAAACTGTACATTGCACAATATTGCTTGACTTCGGAGCAAACTCGTACCAATTTCTTACTAGATCTATTTCAATGCTTCCACTTTGGGGCAAACCAGGGACATCCGATTTACTATATGTACATGTAGTCTGAGGCTGTACCAGAATGATGAGCTAAAGATATGTTCTCCGTCATGACTGAGTCTGACAGCAGGAAGCTGCTAGTGCTTTACTAGGGTGATATCAGTATTTATAAACATTGAAAATAATCCTGTTTCAATTAATACATGCAACTACAATTCAAAATATAGCTTAGCTTTTAGACTTAGGGAAAGTTTTGAATTATTTTTTCTTTTAATCTAAAATTAAACATCTTAATTTATTTTTAAAGACAGAAGATGGTTGCTGGGATGCAGGAGATTGACAAACTAAAATCACAGATGGGAGATATCAATGTTCCATTGGAAGTTTTTGAGTAAGTCTGAATTTTTAGGTCACCTGAGCTTTAGCTCAAGTGACCTATTGCTATCCTTTTTCGTCCGTCGTCCGTCGTCCGTCGTCCGTTAACATTTTACATTTCAAACTTAAAGTCAAGTTCTGCTGGGCCGATTGAACTGAAAGTTGGTAGGAATGATCGCCTCATGGTCCTGACAAAGTGTTGTTATTTTTCGGGTCGATCAGAAATCCAATATGGCCGCCACGGCCGCCATTTTGAAAACCTATTTCAAACTTAAAGTCAAGTTCTGCTGGACCGATTGAACTGAAAGTTGGTAGGAATGATCGCCTCATGGTCCTGACAAAGTGTTGTTATTTTTCGGGTCGATCAGAAATCCAATATGGCCGCCACGGCCGCCATTTTGAAAACCTATTTCAAACTTAAAGTCAAGTTCTGCTGGACCGATTGAACTGAAAGTTGGTAGGAATGATCGCCTCATGGTCCTGACAAAGTGTTGTTATTTTTCGGGTCGATCAGAAATCCAATATGGCCGCCACGGCCGCCATTTTGAAAACCTATTTCAAACTTAAAGTCAAGTTCTGCTGGACCGATTGAACTGAAAGTTGGTAGGAATGATCGCCTCATGGTCCTGACAAAGTGTTGTTATTTTTCGGGTCGATCAGAAATCCAATATGGCCGCCACGGCCGCCATTTTGAAAACCTATTTCAAACTTAAAGTCAAGTTCTGCTGGACCGATTGAACTGAAAGTTGGTAGGAATGATCGCCTCATGGTCCTGACAAAGTGTTGTTATTTTTCGGGTCAATCAGAAATACAATTTGGCTGCCATGGCCGCTATTTTGCTACTAAGTTCTAATAGGCCGATCTCACTTAAAATTGGTCTAGGAATGATCAGCTCATGGTCCTGACAAAGTTAAGTTAACATTATACTATTTTTTACTCAAATTGGTACATATTTCAACAACAAAAATAAATACTGTAGACTCAGGTGACCGTTTAGGCCCATGGGCCTCTTGTTTTTAAATTATATTTAATTAATTTTGTGTAAATCATAACTTATTTATTTGATCCTGGTACCTGGAGCTTGGGTGTACACTTTCATATTTAGAATTCTAGCTCAGAGGCTGATTTGAACAGTTCAACCTATTATTTCATAGTAAATATTGAAAACAAATCACTAGCCCAAACATAAAATCTATAAGCCCAGGGGTCAGAATAATGGAATTTGTAACAGTATTTTAAAGACTGATAATATAAAAAAAAAATCATCAGGTGTTAATGATGTAATTAATAACAAAAAATGGTTTGAAAAAAACATAGGTTGTTACCTTACCTGGTAAGGAATTCATAATTATTTACATTCAAGCCTTGACATAATGCACAGTTTCTCTCCTTCCCTGCTATCCCCACCATGTGTTTTGTAAAAATGAATGTAATACCACTTGGTATCTGTTTTCAGTTACATTGATCAAGGGAAAAACCCAAACCTCTACACTAAAGACTGTTTAGAAAAGGCACTTGCTAAAAATGAGCAAGTTAAAGGAAAAATAGATAATTTGAAGGTAAGTTATACATATCTGTTTTTTTTCCTTTTTCATCTCTCACAAAAAGTCTGAAGGTGAGAACAAAAAATGTGTTTTAGGTTACAGATTACTAAGAATACTATGTCAGTAGTAACCCTTTTTCCAATCCATATTTATGATATATCAAGTGTGAGTTGTGCCTAAAATGTTAATAATTTCTAATGAACAACATGTTGTTTTTTCCACACAGAAATTCAAGACATTGCTGCTTGTTGAATTGGACAAAGTGTTCCCTAAAGAAATTAACACATACCGAGCTCTGAGAGGAGATGACCGGCCCTTATAGCACACCACTATATCTTGTGTAGCAAGGCAGCTAGAACAGACACGTCTAGTAATGAACAGAAAACTGAATGTGTATGTACCTTCAACCAAGAAAATGTATAGGGACATCCTGGTATCAAACTTACTCTTTCAGAAATTATGATTTTAGGGAAATAATATTTTAGCACATTTTGTGCTGATTGGAAAGGCATTAAATTATGATAATTGCTAAGTATAATATCACTTTATTCCATCACTTGAATTATCATAGATTCCTGTAATGCTCATCATCATGGTTGTAAATTGAAAATTGTTGCTGTTTCAAGGAAATATGAGTAAGCTGATAAATAAGTATTTTGTACATAGTATTATGTGAAATATGAGTGAGCTAATTAATAAGTGTTGTATTATATGAAAGGTTTTCGGAGGTCATCAATTGGTGTTTCCTTTTATTGACAAGACATTGGAACTTGTGTTTGGTAAGTCGTCTCTAATTTCTTGTGAGACAGTTTATACTACTATGTTAACCCTTTCACCCCTATGTAACTTTAATAGACTCTACTATGCATTGATATGGATGAGTACATTGTGGTCTACACATGTACAGTGGTTAAAGGGTTAATGTGTAGTTCAAATAAGAGAAACTTAAAGCTGAATCTTACAGGGGTGAATTTGAACCATTCAACTAGCCTGATACACAGTGCTTCTAGATTTTATGTCAGGCCTATATAGCTAGTAAACAATTTTCAATATTTACCAGGTTATATAAAAATATAGGTTGGTGTAGAATTCTGCCTGCAGGCTAGTACTTTAAGTTTGATATTGTACATATCTTTATTAAAAATGCTGTCGATCTAATTGAACATAGGCTAGGATGATAAGAAATTGATCAATCAAAGTTGCAAAACCCGATTAGTTTTGAATGATTTGGTTTAAATCTTCATTTGACACCCGATAACCCTATGCATATAGTTTTTATCACAGCACTTTCCACACGCATGTATATTATTTAAATCAATATCAGGAGATTTCGTAATACCTTTGTATTATAATGTAACATTCGCTAATTAGGTGTAAACATGTATTGTATTTTTGTGTTCATTGTGAATATCTATAAATGTCCTTGCTTATGTGTGTCGGCCATATTTTTGAGTGTATAGAAAAATGAGAAAACATGTTGTTTGTAGGTGGAATTATCAGGGAATATGTTCTTTTGTGGAGAGATTTGTGTATGTAGAGAAATAACAGAAAATGTTTTTCGGAGGTAGGGTGATATGAGAAAATACTTTGTGTACATGGAGAGATACAAAAAAATGTTTTGTATTCGTAGAGAAATGAGAGGTGTCTTTTTATTGGTAGGGAGACCATAGTTTTTGTATGCATGGAGGGTATGAGAAAATGTCTCATCAAATGGTAAGTTGTATCTGAGTGTCATCAATAAAAGTATGCAAATCCAGTTTTGTTACTGCAGATGTTTTCAAATTTTTGAACAACTTATGTTTTGTGGTTTTTAGCTCACCTGGTCCAAAAGACCATGGTGAGCTGGTCCAAAGGACCATGGTGAGCTTATGCCATACCGCAGCGTCTGTCCGTCGTCTGTCCGTCAACTTTTCCTTTAAAACGCTACTAGTCCTGAACGGCCAAGTAGATTTTGACTAAATTTGGTCTGGAGCATCCTAAGGCCAAGGGGACTCAATTTTGTATAAATGGTGGGTGCGGCCCCCCTGGGGGCAGAGGGGTGGGGCCCTAAAGGGAAAATAGAGGAAAAACCCTTAAATTAAGGGATTTTATCCTAATTCAGTCTGAAGCATCCTTGGGCCAATGAGACTCAATTTTGTATAAACCGTGGGTCTGGCCCCCCAGCAAATTCTTTAAAATCCTTCTTCTTCTGTAGGAATGAAAGGATTTGGTGTGGAGCATCCTTGGGCCATGGTGACTCGATTTTGTATAAATGGTGGGTCTGGCCCCACTGGGGCCTGTCAGGGTGGGGTCCAATAGGGGAAATATAGCAAATTATTCTTTAAAATCTTTCTTCTTCTGTAGGAATGAAAGGATTTGGTCCATATTTGGTGTGGATCATCCTTGGGTTAACGGAAACCAATTTTGTATAAACCATGGGTCTGGCCCCCCAGGGGAGTGGGGAGGTGTCCAATAGGGGAAACATAGCAAATTATTCTTTAAAATCCATCTTCTTCCGTAGGAATGAAAGGATTGGTCCATATTTTGTTTGGAGCATCCTTTGGTAAAGGGGAACCAATTTTCTATAAACAGTGGGTGTGGTCCCCATTGGACCTGAGGGATGGGGCCCAATAGGGGAAATAGAGGTAAAACCCTTTAAAATCATTCTTCTTCCAAAGGGATTAAGGGATTTTATCCTAATTTAGTCTGGAGAATCCTTGGGCAAAATGGACTCAATTTCATATAAACAGCGAGTGTGGCAGAAGAGAGGGGCCCAATAGGGAGAACATAGCAAATTCTTCAAAATCCTTTTTCTTCTTAAGGAATTACAGGATTTTGTCCAAATTTGGTATAAAGCATCCTTTGGTAAAGGGGAACCAATTTTGTATAAACGTTGGGTATGACCCCCCTAGGAGCATAGGGTTGGGGCTCTTTTTGAAAAAAAATCTCGCTATATCTCGCGATATAATTAAGTACTGGATGGATCATTCTGAAATTTCATATGTAATTACAGCACCTACAATGGAGTGATATATCTTTACTTCATATCAATTATTTTAAACATATTCAGGTGAGCAATACAGGCCCTCTGGGCCTCTTGTTATTTTTTATTTTGCTTATTCATGGCCTAGGGGACATCAAATTCTCACAGGTAATATAAGTTGTTTTAAATGCACATCACAAAAAGTCAGTCAACGCAGAAATATACAGAGCTTACTAATTTCTAATAAATAAAATATGTCCTTTTTTAGAGAAAAATCCATAGTGAAGACATCATTGAAATATTGATAATTAACATGAGTATTGTTAGCATTTTTAGGTCACCTGAGCTTTGCTCAAGTGACCTATTCCAATCACTTTCCGTCCGTCGTCGTGCGTAAACTTTTTACATTTTCAACTTCTTCTCGAGAACCAGTGGATGGAATTTTTTTCAAACTTGGTCAGAATCATCCTTGGTAGACGAGGCTACCAAATTGTAAAATTGGGATTCCTAATCCAACCCAAGGGGCCAGGGCGGGGCCCCAAAGGGAAAATTAACCAATATTTCAACAATCTTCTTCTCAAGACTAGAGGTATTACAGTCATTTTCTCTGCATGGATGGAAAGATCATCTGGGGCTTTATTTAAATTGTAAACTTCAGGACCCCCGAGCTATCCGTTCTCCCTTGGGAAGGGGGTTAAGGGTATATAGGGAAACAACACTTTTGGGTATATTTTGACAATTTTCTGTTTGAAATTATTTTTACTTAATGAGAATTATCCTTAAAGGAAGATGGTTTTAAATTGAAAAATTGGGGCCAGGGCGGGGCCCCAAAGGGTGACGGATGACTGTATTACATTGTAAAATTGCAATTCCTGCCCCATCCCCAGGGGCTAGGGCGGGGCGGGGCCCCAAAGGGAACATTTACCAATATTCTAAAATTCCTATCCTTTGATGACATGACAAGTATTGTATTTCACTTAGTTTACATGCTGATTTCCACATTACATCTAAACAATAAAATAAAGCTACCAGTACTTATGATATAACTCGGGTGACCGCTAAGGCCCTTGGGGCTCTTGTTTAAATTTAGCAATGGGTAATTCCAACTGACTTTGGCGTATAAACTTGTTATTTTTTCAATAAGAGATTTAGCTCCCTCTGACGTAATACCGTTGTGTAAGCGACAACAAATTCAGAAAATCCTTAGTTATGTTTAATGAGACAACACTCTCACAATTATTAATATAAACTGACACAATATTGTGCCTGGTTCTAATGTCTACTTTCAAAAATGATAATTTTAATCAAGTTATGGTCATTCCAGAAAAATAAGTTGTAAATGTATAGTTTCTTTCTTGGCAGTGGTACAGGGACCCTTAAGGGGAGTGTATAAGGCTCGATACACAGGGACCTGAGATTTTGTTACAGCTATATTTGGACCTAATTATATGCTAAGGTGTTCAGAGTAATTTTAGGGGTTACCAGGTAATTTTATCGAATGTTGATCTAAACCCCCTAAATGTGTAAGATTACTATATGAACACCACAGTTTAGGTACAAATATACATTGTAGCTGAAACAAAATCTGAGGTTCCTGTGGTTTGATAGGCCCGACTGAGTAACCAGTTAACTGCTGACAACCAAAGTTAAGTTAAATCTGTCATTATGCTCGTTGGACATTATTGAGGCAGCGTGGTACATTTTTTCACTATCATGATCACGATCACTGTACTTTGCCTACAGGTACAGTATTAGCCTCATCTATCAATATGCCTATCATATGGGTACATTTCGTAAGTTGGTAGGCGTTTAAAGAGACTAGTGACTGGGGTTAAACATGTACATGTACATGCAATGTGCAGATATTTCATATCAAATATGTACCATGATTCAAACTTTTGCTTTTATTACTTTTAATGAACGTGATTTATGAAAAAAGTTAAAGTTTAACTTTTTTATTTTTCATGAAAGTTACCGGGCCCTTATGCGTGATGCGTCCATCAACCGGCGTCAAAATTTTACTTTTAACAATTTCTTTTGAATAACAAAAAATACCCAGGATGATGATATTTGCCCAGTAACATGCTTGAATAAATGGCTACCAAGTTTGTTCAAATGAATGACCTTCGCTCATATTCAAGGTCACAGGGGTCATTTGTCTAAAACGACTTTTAAACCACTTCCGGTGAATAACCAAAATGCCCAGGGTGATGATATTTGGCCAGTAGCATGCTCGGATGAAGGGCTACCATGTTTGTTCAAATTAATTACCTTGACCTGTTTTGAAGGTCACAGGGGTCAAATATGTTTAAATTCTTTAAATGACTTCTGAATAAACATGAGGCCCAGGATGTGGATATTTTGCCATTAAGATGCTTTGAGACGAGGAAGGGCTACCAAGCTTTTTCATTTGAAAGACCTTGACCCTCCTTCAAGGTCACATTTGCTTAAATATGTATAAACTTTTGATAAACAAAAGGTCTAGGGTGGTGATATTTGGCAAGTTGCATGCTGAGATGAAGGGCTATAAAGTTTGTTAAACGTAATGACCTGTTCGACTTTCAAGGTCACAGGGGTCAAATGTTTTTAAAGCTTTTAACAGGTTCTTTTGAATGACTTATAGTCATAAATACTGATAATTTGGCTGTAGCTTTATTTTAGATCACTTTTAAGGTTATTAGTGAAGATCAAGTGCACTCAAACCTTTGAGTCTGATCCTTGTAAAGGAAGAAGAGGAAGAAGAAGAAGAAGAAGTGAGATTAGTTCCAGGTGAGCTATTCAGGCCCATTGGGCCTCATGTTGTAACTGCATCTATCACTTACAAAAAAGCCAATGCAAGAGAAGAACTACTCTATATAAAAGACAGATTTCATATAGAAATACGCTTGTTTAACGTCCTAGATGAGTGGACTGCGGTGGCCAAGTGGGTTAGGGCGTCTGACATTCTGCTACTAACCCTCCGCCACTGGGTCGCGGGTTCGAGACCTACGTTGGACAATCGTCAGATACTGGCCGTTCGTCGGTGGTATTTCATCGGGAACTCCGACTTTCCTCCACCATCAAAACCTGGCACGTCCTTAAATGACCATAGCTGTTGATAGAACGCAAAACACAAACCAACGCCCTAGATCACAGCGTGTATGGTTATATGAGAGTTGTTGTTTAGGGAAACAACATGGAAAAGGCACAGTAGGTGGAAGAGAAAAGGAAAGACAATATCGCGTTTTGTAATGGGCAGCGTATCAGCTGACCAGTTTGGTTTGTTAGATGCCAAAAACGAAACCAAGCCCCTGATGTTCACTGAGTCTCATACGTCACCTCTTTCGGTAACATGCAGTGGGATACAACACAGGGACCCGAGAACTTGTTACTGCTGTATTTGGGCTGTAACTGATCTGTTTATGGACATTGTACACGGAACACATCAAGTTAGACCAAAATATAGCTGCTAAAATTTAGCAGGTCCCTGTGTAAGTTGGAAACATGCACACTTTGAAAGAACTCGTTGAAAGGCTAAGCTGATGAACGGTTGTCTAATTTATAAAGAAATCTGTTATAACAAACGTAGAAAGTTTATAGCAAAAAAGTTACCTCTTTATGATTGTACATGACTCTTTAATTATATATCTAGACACAAATCTCACCGCCCTTTTATTGTACTTGAGGTTAAGACCAAACTACTCTATAGTTGTATTGTAAATCAGGTTACAGGATTGAAACGGAACATTAATGTTTATAAATGTGCTTGAATTATATATAAAACTACGAAACGGACCCATCGATATTTAATTGTACATGAATCA